GGGTTAACTTAAATTAAGACTGCTTATACCTTATAAACGATAAAGAAGTGCAAATATTTCATTCTGTATCTACACACATTTTTTCAATAAATATTTTAAGTAAGATTTGTACATCTTAGTCAATTTATTTAATATCTTTCTTTAGCAAAACATATATATTTTCAAATTTATAAATTGATTTAAATCAATATGCGTATGAAGTCTTGATAGAAATCTGACTTTCTGTGCCTTAATCTAAATGAAATTCACAAATACTATATCGCGATACATCGCTATATCGCGATGCAAAACTGACGATATATCACGATATATAATTTCTAATATCGCCCAGTCCTAATCATGAGTTCACAAATATATTGTAAATATTAACTCATAGCTGAAAAAAGTGCTTTTGCTTTAATAAGGAGCTAGTAACTAACATTAAAATTGCAAACAACTCAATTTTCTTTCCTATATTAATATACCTTTTAAAATAATATTTAATAGATAAAAAATGCATTTAAAATAATATGCTGGTTTACAAAAGACAATAGCCTCGCATTTCACAAAAAAAGAGTTTATTAAGCAAGAAAAATATGATTGATAAATTTATTGCTTCCTTTAAAAAGAAAGCTAAACAGATAAAGAAGGACCGTAAATTACAACCACACTAGGATTTTAATTTAGGACATCACATGTCCCTCTTCCTTCATTCAAAGAGGATTCAAGGTTTTTTTTTGCATTTTTGTGTGCAAGCATCAAAGGGACTTAATACTTAAATGATTTCTTTGAAACCTTTTCTAAACCTAATGACTAAAATTTGTGTGATATTTTTGAATGAACGGTTCAGTGCCAATGTTATAACACTGCATGTATGGAAGAACAAACAGGTAATCGTTGTAATGAAAGGATCACTATAAGGGGGGTCATACTAAAGAGAATAGGCTGTATTAGCTATAATTGTTTTCACTTTTCTTAACTATTATAAATAGACCAACTTTCAAACAACTATAAAAAACATTGGTCCCACAGTGGACTGATCCATAAGATGGTTCCCAGCAGATCACTAAAGTCATGCATCACTGGCTGCGGTCAGTGTGCGGGTGGGTGATCACTTGGATGATTCTGCGTAGGGTCCGAGGGTATGCAGTTTTGGTCCTCGTTAAATTCTTTTGCCGTAAAATGCCTGACTTCGCATGCGGCTACCAAATCATCGAGCTACCAAAGCGGGGTGCCATCCGCTCAAAAGGATCAAAATTGTTATGGCATGTTTTCTGATCATCTTCAGGGATGATTCCCAGACCACCCCCAATCGCCCATTGTGCAGCTCTAGTGTGACGTAAATGAACAAGAACAAACATTGCTTCCTAGAATGTTCATGTTATGATTGTCTAAGGCAATTTTTTATCGCAATTTGTCAGATTTTATTGTTCATCATTAAAAATAAAATCTTCCTTATATGAATAATCAATTTCAGGCTCTACTATGTATTTACCTATGCTTACATTTTGTAAGCATCATTGAAAAATGTATTATTTTGAAAGTGGTGATTAGAGATTAGATTTTGCTTTCAGATAGAATTATTATGTTTCCCTTAACCTTTTAAATTTTTGTTATGTTTTTCTTTAAACTTTTTGTTAAAAAATTTATGTTGTTTTTCTCATTGAATCTTTTAGCAAGCATTTACAAAGATTTTTGTGAATCACTATGGAAGAATCAACAAAATGCTTGCAGAATCCAAGGACTCTGATACTCTTTCCAACAGAGTTGTGCATGTGAGTGTACAGTTATTTAGCAATGAAGATCTGGCCTATCAAATGACTAAAGAGTACAGACTCCTTCATGTAATGGTTGACAGCTTGTACCGTATGATGCATTCAATTGCACAGAAAAGTACTCTCCAGTGTAAGTAGGGATTAAAATTTGTGTGATTGTCATTTTAAGTGTAAACTTTTTATTTTTCTCAGCTGGATAAGTAAATGTATTTGCTATATTTTTAAAATTTTGTTTTCAAAAGTTGTTGATTTTTTTACAAAAATTTAATCTAACTATCTAACTAAACTTCATACAGTTTTCCTCAGTAAGTAGTTATTCAAATTTCTTTTTAAATCAAATTCTTACAGGTTGTTTTCAAATTTATATTTAAATTTTTTTTATTCTATATAAATCTTTATTCTATATAAATCTTTTAGCCACATTTATTTTAAACATGTTTCGGTTGAAGAAATTTTCTTTAAGGAAAAAAATAATAATAATAATAAATGAAAAAAGACTCAAAATGACAGAAAACTTGAAAGTTGTTACACCTTGAATTAGTATCTTTACATGTAGGATTTTAATGTTATAATTGCGGTGTTTGTTGAAATTAGTGGGAAGAATAGTTTCAAAATTAAGTATGCTAATTATATAAGTTTCTAATTAGTTTTTGGTTATAGGTATAGTGCGAGGTGCTCATTGATTATTTGTATATATTAATAGGCACTCTCACATAATTGTGAGTTTTGTAGTGACATGCATGAATAAATATCTATTATTATTATTATTATTATTATTATTATTATATATATTTTTTTTCTTCTTTTGTAGGTGCTGAAAAGAACCATCATTTTGTAGTTGATTGCAGTCATCACATAATGAAAGAACATTGTTATTGGCCGTTAATCAGTGACCTTAATAATGTTCTTACCCATAGTGCTGTTGCGTATGAGTTTATTAGTGATACTACGCTACTCTCATGGTGGTTTAAGTTTTTGTCTTTACTTCAAGGTAAAAAACCTTTAAGAATAATTGTAAATGGATGAATAATATTAATGTGTGTCATGGCAGAAATTACTGTTCTAACCTTGCAAATCAACAGATTATCATGTATGGGAACTTTTCTCTAATTTTAAATTTCTTTATGAATTTCATAACTTCTCTATTACTTTTGTTGCTTTATCATTGTTTTTTTAACATTAAAACTTATATTTGTATTATTAACTATTTAACTTTATTGGAGTTAAAATGAAAACTGTTTTATTTAGCTTTTGTAGCACAATATATTTATTTAGTAATTTCACTCTACAATGTTTATTTTTAAGATCTTAATTCAATATTTATGAGAATTCAGGAGAAAAAATAATAATTGATGTATGATCCAAAAATGCTTCGGTAAATAATTCAAATTCAAAAGTAACATTAAATAAAGTAAAAGTAAGGTATAAAAATTATTTTAGAGAAGGACAAATAATTACACTTAGCAAAAATAATTGAATAAATAAAATTATTCTACAGTGAAACTTCAAGGAAAGACCACCTCTATGAATGACCTCCTCTATATGCGACCACTTTTGGGAGGCACAGAGTTTCTTCCTTAGCATATCTGCCAAGTCTCCTGCTTACCCGTATATTCTCAAATTTCTCTGTGTTTGTTGAATTTTAAAAAAAATAAAAAATGGCTATAAAATATCCACTGATGGCAAAAATATTTCTCTTATTCCTCAACAGATAGTGCTATCGCCAGCACTGCAGTATGTTGACTGTTAATAATTTAAGTAATTATAAATAATGGTTTAAAAAATATTTTTTAGATTAGGATTTATAAACATATTTTTTACTTCGCTAAATGTAAGTGCTTATATTATTTCCAATTTTGAATTTCTCTTTTTGAGTTACATGATTATGTATCAAAAGTTTACTCGTAATCTAAGAAATGTCGCTAGTAAAATCTCCGTTATTTTATTTCTCCAATGTCGGCAGATATTCCATAGACTTTGTGCTGAAGAAAACCTTTAGGAGAGAGCATCAAAACCTTTTCTAGCGACCGGGAAAATCTCTGCACCAAATGCAGAAAACGTCAAATAAGGAAACAAGAAAAAATATCAAAACAAAAAATATTAACTAAACAAATAAGTAGCTTAAAATGTATTCAAAATATTTGTGTGGTTCTTATTTCTTTTTGATGATTGAATATTTGATTTCTTTTTGAGATCATCTAAAAGGTTGGTGCTACTATCTTGTGTTGCAATCAGAGTGCACTGAAGATGATGCTATCAATGATTTATTTTTATAGTAGAAAGTTAAATTAGAAAAAAAAAGTTATTTTGGAAAAACTAAGCATCTTGAGCAAGCAAATCTCTTCTCATTTTTTAAAGCTGTCTAATTTTCACGATATAAAATGAAACTTAAACAAAAACCATAAATGTTTAGTTATTTAAATAGTTCTATCATTCATAATTGGTAAAAATTTTTTTACTCATATTTTTATCAGTAGGGATCATTTTTATTGACTCTAAGTTTTATTCATTAATCTGGTTTGCATAACACTAACACAATTGCGTACACACAAGTGTCATTCCTGCACCAAGGAACTGACACTGACAAAAATTGAAATCGTTTGCGAAAAATCATGCACCTTCGATACTATTTTTGAAAAGTCAATGAAGGTCCAACCTCTATTAATGACCATTTTACAGTAGTAAAGAGAGTGGTCACTCCCAATAGATTTCACTGTATTAAAAAGTAAATAAATAATTGCATAGTTTTAAGTTAATATTTTTAAATTTTTCATTTGTTATTTTTCTAATTTTTGGGACACAATATATTTTTACTTGTTTACTTTATATTATATATTATAATTTTATTTGATATTTCTTCTGTTATAGATAAGTTGAATGGTCAACCTGGTCTATTTATTATCAGATGCCTTTTGTTATTTTGCTAACCATTTTTAAAAACTAATAATTTGTTTTCAGGTATGAATGTTAATAATCGTGAATTGAAATCACACGTTGAATTTGAATCTAATACTTACTACGCTGCTTTTTCTGCTGAACTGGAAAGTTCTGCAACACCAATGTGGGCTTTGATTTCCCACCTTAAAAATCCAGTAAGAAACCATTTATTATGTCAGTACATTAAAAGTTATGTCTCGGTTTTCGGTAAACTAAACTAATGTTTTATACTGTATACAACAGCTATTGTTGTTGACAGTATTATTTATGGTTTAATTTATCCAATACCTTATTTTAACTGTGAAAATTATTTTATTATAGTACATCAATAATAAAGTGTTTTTTTTTTGTTTTTTTTTTTTGAAATTTTTAAATACTTGTCTAGCTTATAGTAATGCTTCTCTTTTTTTTAGTTATTTATTTTGTGCTGTATGCTTACAAATATTTCTTTGTATTTGAAATGTTTCTCAAAAAAGCATGTTGTGTTTAAAATATTGGTTAGATTTTAAAAAGTAGATAAATATTGAAATGCAGCTCCAAACTACAGCTATAACATCAGTACCCGGTCTGTAATCTTATTAATTTTGTCTCAAGACCTGTATACTATTAATCGTCTATTTGGTCACTAAGTTCTACATTTAATCAATATTTATTATTGTTTAATCAATATCATTGTCCAAAAATCTAGTTTTGGAGATAATTAAAAGTTTTTTTAGTTGCTCAATGATTTACATTATGCCTTAATTTTTTTCTATAAACTGTTTTATTTTATCAGTTTTTAGTAAAGTGTATTTTTTCCTTCCTGTTTGCCAAATTAAAGAATCAAATTAATAATTCTGCATGATTTTTATTTTTTAAAATTTTATAGTAAAGTATGCTTTATTTTTTAGTCAGCTTAAATTTTCATTTATTTGTTGTTATTAATTATTTTTTTATAGATTAAACTTTATAAACTTTTATGGAATGGGCCAAACAAAAGAGGTGATGAAAGCGAATTATTTAGAAATTTATCTTAAAAATTATTTTAAAATAATATTAAGCTTCTTGCTTTTGTGATATTTTTTATGAAAATATTATAATATGCTGAGTTCTCCATTTTTAGGATGCTTTAGATCGCACCAAAACAGTGCTTGAAATTTGTACTAGAGCTCTTCATGATTGGTTTCAAGCTATTGGCTTTTCTGTTGGAGATGAGGTAAGACTTATTGTCTTCTTTTTTTGACGTCTTAATTTGTGCAAATCACTTTACATAGATATAGTGCACATTGAGTTTTAATACATTGTTAATTAATACTTACATTAGATGACAAGAAATGAAATATTTTCCTTTTTTTTCTAAGAACTTTTAACTCATGGTTATTGCCAGCTTATCATTAGTATAATATTAATGAGTTATGTAATAAAATATTTGTATTTATTTGGACGTGAAAACATTTGTTTGAATTGTCTGGTATGAATTATAATATATAAATGAGAATGAATTAGTAGCAAAATTGGACAATGATTGAACTTCCGTTATCCAGTATTGAACAATTGGACTTTTATTCAGAAATGCTATTTCTTCAAAGTAGGTTAGGTCTTAATTATTTCGGTCAATCAAGGTTTTACCACACAGAAGTTTTTAACTTATTAATTTTAGATTTTTATACTGTTAAAATTAATTTATTTCACCGAATTTACTTTTATGTCTGATGCTGAAGTAACTGTTAAAAAAAAAAACTTATGTAAAATAGAATAAGGATTGTAAATTTTGTAATGATGCTCAGTTAATAAGACACTTTTTTTTTTAATATTGTAATCTAAATCTGGATATGTTGGTATCACTAGTAAAAAAACAGAGAAAAAAACGCACCTGTTATGATAGATTCATTTTTGTCTGATGCTTAGGTAAAAATTCTTGTAAATAAATTTCTATAAATTATAATTGAAAATGCGCATAGAAAATCAATGCAATTTATTTTGATTGTAAATTTTTTGTAATGATGCTTAGTTTATAAGATATGATGTTGCTTATATTTTAAGCTAAATCTGGATATGATGATATCAATAATAAAAATAATTCAATTATAATATATTTTTGCGTATAATTTAAGTTTGTAATCTTTTAAAACATTTTTCTGTTTCAGCATTTTTATAACTTATTTTCTTTATTATTACTACTCTACTAACCTTATTTTCTGTGTTTAGATCAATCCATATCAAGTATCATTCCACATTCCCTTACATCGATGCTTTGCATCATTTCTTGGGGAAGCAGTGAGAGAGCAGGGTGGCTCATTGGATGAACTTCTTCCTGATGAGAAATTTCTAAAGTTACTGATGATGCATCCTCTCCAAGCACAAGTAAGTCCTCTTTTATTGTCTATTCTTTTTTCCCAAAATCATTTACTTAGGTAAATTTTTTACCTTCATTAGCGTTGCACAACTTTTTTGAGGGGAAGGCCACAGGGCTAAATAATTTTAACTTTAGAGGCTTAAATCTTTTATTGTCTGAAAATTGTTGTTTCAATTATAAGCATTTTAATCGTTCACATTCAAATCAATGTGTAAATAAGTTATATTTAAATGAAAAAAATCTGATAAATAATATTTATAAAATATTAAAGTATAAAAATATATTTAAAAAGCTTGATCATACTTTTTTTGAATAAAATTAAACATTTCTCTGTGGTAGAAATTTTTTTATATTTTTGTCTAATTACAGCTTTTATTAGATAAATTACACTTTTTGTTTTTAGATTAAAACTTTGTCTCAGTTTGTTTCAAAAATTTCAAGATTCAAAGAAATTTCTTTCGATATTTGAAGATTATAATTAAAATTGAAAATTTTAATTTTTGTGTTATAATTTAGATAATTTAGATATCTTGTCTGAATTCATCAGGTTTTAAAAATTAAAAGGAAAGTTAAGCAGTTAATTTTAATTTTTTAAATTAATTTTTGTCTAGAAGACAGGAGGAGGAATAGTTTAGGCATCTTGATCACTGCTCTTTAATTATTAATACTCAGCTAGAAATGTTGTTCTTTTAAGTTTGAATAATAAAGCCAAATAAAATAAATTTTTTGTAGCATTATATCTTTATTTTCAACCTTATAAACTCTTACTTAAAAACCAGGCAATTCTATTTTTTCTCTCTAAAAATCAGCATTCTGTGTTCATCTTTTCAGTTAAATTATCAAATTATCATATTTTCTTCATCTGTTTATTGCTTATTTCAGCCTCCCAAAATAATTAAATTATTCTTTTTTACAGAATTCAGTTGTTAAGGTTCAGATATACTGCCATTAATGTTACTTGTAAATAGACCAAATTATGTTATGAGTTTTGTCTGTTTTTCAAATTTTAAAACAAAAGTTTGAAGTAGGTTTATATAATTTTTTTGAAGTTATTTTTTTCATGACATTTCCTAAATTTTTAGAATAGATTCTCATTCTTAAGAGGTAGAAAATATGAAAATGTAGAAAGCAAACACTTTCATTTTTTCAGTTCTGAAATTCTTAAGCATTTCAATTCTCATGTGTAGGATTTGAAGAAAAAAATGCTTTTTTCTGAAATTATTATTATTGTTTTATTAATTTGAATTATTGTTTATAATGATTTAAAAATTACTAGCCTTGCCTTCTGATATAGCTAGTATTTTTTTAAGGGAGATTCATTTTTATGCCATTTAAATGAACAGAATTATACAGTACAGAACCCGTTATCCGGAAATCAGAAAACCGGAAAACCAAAAAAACCGGAGCGAAATTCGATAAATTTTCCCGCCATTTTTTAAATTTTTTTTTTTTCCTCAAAAGATTTTAGGATTTTTTTTTCTTTTTGGAAAGATACTTACCTTACTATCATTTTGGAAATAATCATTACTGTATTACTTCGTTTTTTCTTCTTTTTAAGATTATTTCCAAATATAATTTTTTTAGATGGCTTTAACAATAAAAAAAATGGCTTTTTGTAGCGATTCAGAAAACCGGAAAAATCAGCTATCCGGAATAGCGATGATCCCGATCATTCCGGATAATCGGTTCTCTACTGTACTAAAAAAGACAAAAATGAAGAAAATTTTATTTATCTCTGGTATCAGTACTGAAAAGTGAAAAATGAAAACCCTTTCATTTTATTTTCTTCATAAAATCTTACTGCTTTATGTTAATAAAGTGTGGACATATGTGTGAACAACCTTTGACAAAATTGTCTTCCTCCTTACAAAAGAAAAATAAAAATCTTTTGCTATTTTCAGGAATATTGTTTCAAATGGTTGACCTACTTAGCCTTTGCTTGGCTACTTATCTACTACAGCCCCTTATTTCCCATCTAACTATCAATATTCAGTTGATCAATTGCATCAAAAACTATTGTACACTATTGCATTCCATTATTTTTTATTTCTATTTTAACATTTAATTGGTGTAATTGCTATAGCAACAGTCACACCATAAGGACAATTGTCGCTCGGCTATTGTGAATTGTCGTTATAACAGACTTTTTCTGTAATAAATTTTAGGTTGCTTTCCATGAGATTTTGTGCAACATGTGGGTCCGCAGTGGATTACAGATCAAAGGCCAGGCGATGACCTACATTCAGTGCCATTTCTGTGTTTCGATTGTTGATGCTGATTTGTTCATTCTTCAGTTATGTGCAATGAAGTTAGATCCTGACGATTTTTTGAAAACAGTAATGCAAAGGTATTGTTTAAAACTTCTCTTTGTTTTTGCTCAACTCAGTTTTTTTTTTACGTAAATTGTTTGCAGAACTTCCAACATAGTAATGTAAAATTTATTACTGGGGTGTTTTCAGATTTCATGTTTGGGAATGGCTAACATTTCATCCCAGTCGGACTAACTCTTTTTTGGAAAGTGATAAAGTGTTGCCTATGCTAGAAGGAGCCCTTTCTTTTCTTGCTACCTTGCTTTCAATTCAAACAAATATTGGTAAGTTATTTTTTATTAAAGAAACATGCAAGTTATAAGCAGATTAAATTTAGTTGCTTCTTAAGTTCTTTGACTTTTACTTGTCTAATACTTGTAAAGGATATCTTTGCATGTATTAATTCCTTTTAATGTATTTTAAATTTTTCTAATTTATCCTAATAAATATGTTAAATTTGGATAATTGTTTCTTAAGTTCTTCTTTATTTTGATAACACCTGAATATAGTTAACATGCTAATGCTAAAATTTGTGTATTTATTTTGTTACAGTTAATTAGATTAACATTTTGATTCAACTATTGTAAGAAAAATATCGACAATATTTAGGAAAGTATTGGTTAACTTACCTAACAAATATTTTTGAGGACAATTGAAGAAGAGATTGCTATTTTAAATTCTTCTTTGTCTCATATAACTAACAAGAATAAAAGCAATGCTAAAGACAGAAAAGATCTGTATTTTATCGTCAATCAATACATTTTTGTCAATTAGAAACTTATGCCCTGTAATTTTTTTACAATTGATTTATCTTGAAAAATAACCCCTAAAAAGCCTCACCATTAGCAGCAACATATGTAAAATATTCCATGGTAATCCAAAAGGGCATTGAGAACTATTGAGAACTAAACATTGAGAACTATTTAATAACCAAATAATTGTAGGAAGAATATCTTTACCGTATCTTCGTAGAATATCTCTGTATCATTTTTTGTTGAATCTGGTTGAACTGTTAAAATGAAAAAAATCTTGAAGAACTATTGCAAGACACACAATTAATAAAATAACACACAATTTTCTAGCAATTTTAACTTTATTTTTGATATGCACATTTAGATTTCATCTTTTAATTGTTATTCTCCATTTTATTGAACATAAAAATCAAAAGCTTTCTAAAATACAATAATAAAATTTAGTGTAGTATTTCCGAAAGTTCTCAGCAGTTAAAAATCTAATTGTTGACATTTTAAAAAAGTGTTAAGAAAAAAGCCTTGTTGAGGCTTCATGAAAATGATAATGTGCTTAGTTGTGCTTACTTTGCTAATAATAGGCATATTAGAGTATTATATTTTTAGGTTTTACATTGTGCAAAATTCCGGCCGATTCAAGTTTAATGTGAGCTCTCTGATTTAATGAATTCTAATTTATGTATATATACATTTGATGTGTTTTTTTATGTGTTGCTGTTTATTATGCAGGTCAAACGGAAGAAGAAATTATTAGGCAAGAGATGGTTTCATTATTGTGTATGAGTGATCGCACACACTCTCAACTCATGGATTTCTTACCTGATCGATCTGGTGAAACTACTCAAAACAAAAATTTTGAAACCATTCTTGGAAAGGTACAAAATTTATCAGTGTTTCTGTTATATTGAAATTAAACATGTGTAATTCTATACCAATTTCTCCATTGGTTTTCCCATTTCTTTAAGCTTAATATGGGCAACTGAGAAAGCAAAGTTTAAGGCATTCGAAATCATTAGAAATTACTTTCATTTATACGTGACGTACTTCAAATACTTCAAATTATGCTCTAAAACTTCAAACAATGCACAGAGAAAAACACAAAAATAGTTTTACCAAATGAAAACAGGGTGCATAGCATTTTTAAAAAGTGCTTAGTTTTGATTTACGTTTTTTAAAAGCCCTTAAAGGTGCTTTTTTTATTTGGTTTTTGTAAAAAGTGCTTAATTTTTTATCTTTTAAGAAGAGATTTTTTCTTTGCCGCATCGATTGTTGTTCTAAATTGCAAAAAATTCATGATTTTTAAAATTTTTTCTGCAATATTTATCTGAAACTAGTTATTTTATCATGATTATGTAAAGTATTTGAATTTTATTGATTTTATGTTTATAAATTAAGAACTTTAAAATAAATTTTGTCACTGCACAGATCCTAGTTATGATTTTTTTTTGGGGGGGGGAGTGATTAAAAATATTTTTTGAGTGCTTAAAAAGTACTTAAAAGGTGCTTATTTTTTGATGAAAGATCTGGCTATGCACCCTAGAAAAATAAAAATGATGGATAAGGTAGCACAGATGATTAATTCTCTACTTAATGCATTCATTTATATGCAGATTTATTACTCATCCATTTATTGATAGGTAAAACAAAGACATTTAAAACAAGAAAGAATTTATATTTGAACAATCATGGTTTTAATTACGATTTCTCACAATTCCACATTAAAAGAAGCATTCACTGATGTCTTATTCCCCTACTAGCATATTGGAAAAAAACATATATATATATTTTAAAAGATGGACTAAATTTATATCGCCTGCTTGAAAATTTTTTTTATTGTCTGTTACCGTGTCCTGCTAATAGCACTGATACTTAATTTTCAATAATATCTAAGGAACATTTAAAAAAACATCATACATATTTAAGATAAAGCTTTTATCTACATACTAGCTATAAAAATTAAAATATATAAACTATAAACAAATTCAAGAAGTAGAAATAACTGCTTAAAATTCATAACACTGTTATTAATCCATATGCACAAATTCTGGATAGAGATATCTAGAAAATTAAATAATTTTAAGATACACTATTAGGATTGATTTTATTATTTTGAGATGTAGCTCTATTATTTAAGTCACGGACAAACTAGCTCATTTATTGCAGATTGTAAAAAAAAGTAAGAGCAAAATCAGTAAAGCCCCAGAAAGAAAACATTTTAAAATAACAGTGCACGATAGTTTGTGCTTTATACTTATTTTTACATTCTATTAGCAGTACAAGGGAAATTATATTTCTTTTAACTCTCTGTTGCCTTGCAATTTAGGCTAGTTTGTGCATACACTGCTCAGCCTGTTTGCTTGTGAGAGGCTTTCTTGTAGATTTAAGTTATTGTTTATGCTGAAAAGTGCTTAAATGAGTGTCAAAAGATGTATGTTTTATATTGTAGGTTGCTGATTATAAAGCGCCTAACTTTGAAACTGGTGGTGCAATGCTTCAGGGAACATTTGTGCCCAAACCTCACATATGGGAAGTAGAATATAATCCTATACATGTTCTCTTGAGATCAGTTCATAGAAGAGAATACCAGTCATCTTTAGATAGATATACTCAATAGTAAGAATATTTTTTACCCATACAATAATTCATTTTTCTTAAACTATCCTCGCAGATGTTATTAATATTCTTAAATTGTAAAATGATAATTTATTAAATGTTTTCATTTAAACTTAATGTTTTTCTTAATATATTAACTGTGTAACTAAAAAATGCTTTGAAAAACACTTTAAATATAATTTAATTTTGTAGCTTAAAAAGGTATGTACAGTTAAATTTTGATTGTTAAATTTCTTTAATTTAAAGCTCTTTTAAATCAAATGCAAAATATATTTATTTATTTTTTAAAAGTTCAGTATGTTTTTCTCATTTATTTATTTAGTATTGATAATATTTTGCGAAGGCAGTATGGAACATCATGTGTCCAGACATGTGATCGCAGGACTCATCATATCTGTTACTAAAAACTACCTGTGCAATATGATTTTATTAAATTGGCATATCATGCATGACGACCTTGGAAATAAATCAACAAATATCTCTTGAGTATACATTATACACATGCGATTTATAATTCATGCAAAAAAAAACAATTGTTTAATAATTTTATTAGTTTGAATTTATGTCATGGTATATTGTTGAAAGTAAAAGCTCAAATCTCTAAATTTAAAAGTCACAGGACAATAGTTCAAGTATCAAAGTAAACCAGGAGTAATTGTATTCCGAGTTTTTGTATCATTCTTCAGATTCTAAAAACTAGAAGCAGGGCATACGATTTTTGCACGAATATCGTAGAATTCCCTTTATCTCAAGACCATTGGTTTGTGGACTTCCGCGAGTCAAAAACTTATAATCCGACAAAATTTTGAAGCTTTTTATAAATCCCATTAACGTGACATTTACATGCATTCTTTCGACAATTATGTCTTACATCATTTTTTCATTAGTTTGATTCTTTTGGTTTGGCAGATTTTTGCCATTTTGAATATTTTGGAACTGTGCCAGAATCTGCAGATATTGCAATTCTTATTAACACCATTTAAAAATCTTTCATTGCAGTTCCTATTGACGTGATCTAAAAATTCAATGATACGACTTGTATTAACACATTTTTAAAACCAAATATCGTGATTCGTTTTCATGCAAGTTTAAAACCCAATGCCACCATTCGTATTCCCGCTTTTTTAAAACCAATATTATTCATATTCACTAGATCTATAATTATGTGCAGTGATTCATATTTGCGCAATTTAAAAACTTAGTATTGCAATTTCTATTTTTGCGTTTTTAAACTTCAATATTGCGATTCAGAATCACTCCATTTTAAAATCTGATATCGCAATTTTTGTATGAAGTAAATGTTTCCTTGAATTAGTTACTCTAAAGGTATGATATTCTGTATTAATAAGTAATTTAATTATAAACATGTGTAAACATTTAGTTATATACATTTAATTAATAACATGTATGGCATATAAATTGATATTAATTTTTTTGCACGTAAAATTTTCAGGATTTTTCACTCTGTGCCACTATAACCTCCTTGTAAACTTGGTTTTCGTTTGTTGATCAGTGAAATTGTACAATGAAGTCTACTGAGCCGCGATGGCTCAGGGGATAGAGCGTTCGCCTTCCAATGAGGCAAACCGGGTTCAAATCCCAATCGATATGAATTCCGCATCCAGCTTACACCTACCACGGTGCTGATGAGAAATATCCTCAGTGGTAGACGGATCATGTATTAGAGTCCCCTTGCCGTCAGGCTAACCGTGACAGGTTCTCGTGGTCTTCCTCTCCATATAACGCAAATGCGGGTTAGCTTCATCAAAAAGTCCTCCATGAAGGCAAATTTCTCCCAATACTCGTTCCAGGAGTTCCCTTGTCTTCTGGATTGGGTTCTAAATTACAAGGCTACAGAGTTGAACATTGGTAGTCGTAAACCCATAAAAATTGTCCCAAATCCCAGCCTTAATTAATTAGTGATTATCATAATTAACTTATAATTTGCACTAGTTATTAACTCTTGAGATCATTCATGTATCATCAATTAGTAGCTTTTAAAACTTTACAATTATTTGGTTTTTTATTTAAGTTCTGTTAAATTTATTTCTATTGTTTTTGTTTTACATCATTCTTACATTGAGTAAAAAAAATTGTTGCAGTTTACACGTGTGCCAATTGTTTTTGAAACTGATGTAATAAAAATGCTATTAATATTTTTTGTAGTGTCAGAGTGAATTAGTAAGTTATTAGATTAAAAAATGTTGATCAAATTAATGCCTTTGTGTTATTTGTTTATGCAAAAAAAATTTTATAATAAAAAAGACTTTATGCCAATATTTTGTATGATGGAGTTTCATATTCAAAAATTCGTTATTGTGTTTTTTTATGCATGCTAAGTGAAGTACGTATTTGATACTAATAAAATGATTTAAATAAAAAAGTTAAACCAAAGCACGCAAAACGAAAATTTAAAGATACGAATGTTAGTTAAAATTAGAAAGTATGTATGAGGAAATTTCATTTTGCTTGTTTTTGGTTACAACTTTTTATTTACGTAAGACAAATATGGTTTTAGCAGCTTTTAGCACTTTTCCATTTTGCCTTATTATTTTAAAGTTTTTATCTTAAAATTTGTTTAAATCAATTTCACACTTTGATTGGATACTAATAAAATGTTAAGTTCACATTCTGAACAAAAAAAAGAAAAAGTCTTCATTTCTCATTTTGAAAAATTAAGAATAGTACTTTTAATTTTCCATATATATATGCATAGACTTCTTTTTCAATTTTCTTTAGTGTTCGCCAATCTAACAAGATTCCAAATACTGCCAGGCCATGGGCACCATTTAGAATACCTAATCCAGTTTTTAAACAATTTCATGACCCTCGTAGAATATTGCATTGCAAAACGATGCATGGTATTATTTTCACAATTTTGCACAGAGTAAGTATTTTTATTCTTTAATATTTATGTATTTCTCTTATTTGTCACTCTAATCAAGCGATATACCACAATACGCTTGGCCACAAAGAAGGCCACCCCTTTCAATACAGTAGAATCTCTATCGATTGTTTTTCATTTGTCAATTTATTATGACTGATTGATACAGGAAAACGATTAATGCAGGTCACTGTGAAATGCCTTGAAAAAGGAATGAAAATATTAAAGATTTCAAATTTAATGAATTTACTATAATTATGGAATATTTTAATGGTATGTTCTTTCTTCAAAAATATTTATAATGCAAAAAGATTAATAAAAAAATTTATTTATTTAAAATTCATTGAAATTTTTTGTTTGAACAAGTTCTTTTATTTTCTCAACACATTTTCCGCATTTGGGACAAATTGCTGTCCTTTTTGTGTAAATTACTGCAAATATAGAATGTTTCTTTTTCTTTCAAACGCTTTTGAGGCTTCCGCAATTTTTGCCGCTTATTGTGTTTCTATTTCATCATCATTATTATTTTGCACTTCTCCAGTTTCTGCTAATATATTTTTGACTGACATTATCCAACAGGTTTCAGCATTTTCATCCACTGATACTTAGACATCAAACATGATGTTTGAGGTGTTTTTTTTTCAAACTGTAACAAATTTTCTTCATCATCATTCGCACTTGGAGTTATTGCTTTTCCTTTAAAAACAAAAGATTTAAAATTTCTGAATAATAGATCCAGGTATCTTTGAATTTCAGAAACGATCTAAATAAGTGTTATTAATGTCATAAAGATAGCGCTTGTGATGAGACAGATTAAACAAGATGATACGTTCCGGAAAGTGAAAGATGCAGGAATGATGGATCAAGGTTCAACTGTACTTTTTGTAATAAACAGAAATTTAAGAGGAAAATAAAGGCTTTGGATATTTTTGTTTCTCCATTGCAGATTTCTTCAAATTAAAGAAGTAAACCAAAAGTTCCCACAAATGACGCTTATTTGGCACAAAACTTGACATTTTTACACGAAAACAATTGCGTAATGCAAATACGGAATCACCAAAACTTTAAGGTTATGTTGTTATCAGATGAACAAACTTACAACAAGACATTTAACACCAGTCCATTTCTACATAACCTTCTGGTAGTGTTGTCTTGTGACGAACGGCGAGAACTTATTTGTACACCCAATATAATACAGTACAGAACCCGTTATCCGGAAATCGGAAAACCAAAAAACCGGAATAAAATTCGATATATTTTCCCGCCATTAAAAAAATTTTTTTTTTTTTTTCCTCATAAGATTTTAGGATTTTTCTTTCTTTTTTGAAAGGTGTTTACCTTACCATCATTTTGAAAATAATCTTTAGTGTATTACTTCATCGTTTTTTCTTCTTTTTAAGATTATTTCCATATATATATATTTTTTTACTTGGGTTTAACAATAAAAAAACGGCTTTTTGTAGCGATTAAAAAAACCGGAAAAATCACTTACCGGAATAGCGATGGTCACGATCATTCCGGATAATCGGTTCCTTACTGTAGTATCAAAATTGAAACTTCAAGATATCTTTATTTTTATTTCACTGTAATTAAATATTCTCTATGGTCTAAGGTAGTGAATTATTAAAATGTAGCACTAGATGTTGCTTGTCAATAAATAGGTAAACATTGATGATTTGGCATTGCTAAAAGACACTTACTATCTATACTTACACTATTTCTTATTTTATTTCTACTTCTGAAAGCATAACATAATTGTAAAATATTTCTAAGTGCTAAATGGTAACATTTTCTACTATGTGTCCTTTTTTTTCTTTTTAAATTTTAAGCAATAAATATCTAATTTTAAAAATGAATATTACCACGGAAATAAATCTTTTTAATCATAATCAACTTGCAAGAGGAGTGAACGTAGCAAACAAATATACTGCCCAAAGTTTTTAAAATAACTGAATTGCAATTTGTATAATTGCTTGGTACATTGGTGTATACGCCTTTCTACCTGGGTCTTTTCTGGAAACTAGTATCACTAGTTATTTAAATATAAAAACTAATATTAAATTATACAGAGTAAATAATAATATAATTAAATTATCTTTTAACAGGCTGTGAATGATCCAGACATACCTGAACAAGTTCTTCAGTTCTGCATCTACCTTCTTGATATGGCAGTGAGGTTTCCATCTACTGAATCTCAAGATGTATGTATCAGATTTAAACGTATAATTGTAATTTCATTTATCATGCATCCTCAAGATGTTGCTTTTAAAAACTTGAATGTTATTGCTTTTATTATTGATTTACTCATACAACAATTCAAGGTTAAAATCATTTTGTTGCTATGTAATTTCCTTTTTTAAAAATATAACAAAAATTAAAAATCTAATAATGATATGATTAGGAAATATAAATTAGCTTTTAAACAGAAACAGGACTGCTTGTAGGAAATTCACTTTACGAGTAATAAATAAAATGTTTGAAAGTTATTTCTAAAATAAGATAATAATTATAAAAAACTATGTATGTTCTTAAGTTGCAGATATTGATTTGTAGAATTTCGTACATTGGATATTTTAACTTATACTTAACAACTTATTCTTTGACATTAGTTTAATACTTTGCTGTTCTTTTGTCCCTTCAAAAGTTACCTATCTCACCTGCTTGAAAAATTTATTGAAAACTCTGGAAATTCATGCTATTATGAAGCAATATTTCTTAGGTAGAACAACAACATTGCAGATCACACGGAATATTAAATACTGTATTTAGCTCTTGTGCTAGCTCGCTTTAGTGCTGGTGCAATGAGGACCAATCCCCAAGAAACACCCCTTCTGATTCATGCATAAAAAAAGCAAATATTAAATAGTAAGTTCTTAAATGATTTTATAAAGCCAGGCTCATCAGTCGTGATAGAAATATACTGAAAATAATTAGACAAAATTTTGCACAAATTTAGAGAGAAGTAGCCTAGATTGGTCAACAGCTTGTCACCTATCTTATTGCCGAACCACGCACTGTGCAAATGATCTTAGCAAAACTGTAGGAAATGGAATAGGAAGTTCTTCAACATCCTCTATACTTATTAGACCTATCCCCCTCTGACTACCTCGTCTTTTTAAAATTGGACATCTTCATAGAAAATAATTTTATTCTGAAAAGCTGGCTTTGCAGAAATTTATTGACTCTCAACCGTCAAGGTTTTATCCCACTTGCCTTTATAACTTGTTACAAAAGTGTATTGAAAGCACGAATAAAATCTTTACATCCATAAGCTATTGGCCAACTTAGTCTTTCTTTTCTACAAATTTCATACTTGATGACCCAATAGCAAACTAATACATTGATTATTTTCATTCATTTGTGATTTCTTTATTGAATTTTATTTCTCCTTAGGTGTTATCTGTTTTTTGACATTTTAAATAAATAATGATTTCGCTGCATATAATTTCTATTACTTTTTTCATTATTGATTACTTACTCAAATTTTGTGGAATGATATAGTTTGGACAGTTTTATTAATTTTCTTACAGAGTACCACCAGTGAAGACAGGAAAGAGGTGAATGATTTAAAATACGAAGAATGGTTTGATAGCTCGAGAACTTTGGATAATGTATCAAAAGTCATCGAGCGCATTGTAATAACGGAGAAAGTGGAGATGTCAATGAGAATGGTTGAGGAAATGGAAGTAGATGAAGAAATGGAGGAAGACATGGATTTAAGCTTGAATGGCATTTATACTGTTTATGATGTCCATAGTCCTATCATAGAAGAAGGTGACTTAATGATTATTGAATTCTTATAAAGTACCGAGTATTTGTATTTTAGTTTACTTTTCAATGTTGGTTTAAAATTTAGGCAATAGATTTATATTTTAGTTAATGTCATTTAAAGTTAATGCTATTTTAGAATAGTATTATTCTAAACAAATATACTGTTTAGAGTGAAACTGAAAGTAAAAGTGTTAATTTGTTTATACTTCTGTCATCCTTAATAATTTCCAATTGTAAGTATAAAAGTTGTTAGATTATTATTTTTTAATTGTTAGGAAATGTTGATGTTGTTAACCAAAAATGTGGAGAATTTCTGCTACAAATCTATAAAATATACAGGTTTGAATTTAAAGCCAGTTTAAACAATTCCAATACATATTGCAACAATTTCTTGTTTTGGCAACACAAATTTAATTTGATTTAACAAATTCATAATATAAATTTCTACAAAATACTTTTGAACAATTGTTCAATAATACTATTCATCCCAGTAGCAGAAACCTTCCAGCATGGCAGCAGGTACTGTAGATTATTTTTCATCTGAGATTTTTAAAAAAAGATCAGATTTTTTTAAAAAAAGTTAGAAAGCAATTGCTAGCCAAAAAAACAAGGCACAAATTAAAGATCAAATGAAAAAGAATTTTTTTTTCTGTCTTCATTTGTGAAAAATAAGGAAAAGTGTGTCTTTTTTTAAAAAAATTTATCCCGAAGAAAAACTTTCTAAATGTTATTTTCCCGATCTGTCAGCAAAGTACCTATGATGGTATGATAATTATCTTCATTTAAAGAAACTTTAAGCCGGCATGAATCAGAATGCTGTAATTTACAATTCTGTTAATTTCTTCCTTTAAAATGAAAGGTTTATATAACATCTTCAAATTAAACCATTGATTCTAATTTCTTTATTGGATCAATAAAAACATCTATTTTTTCTAATTTAGGGTAAGGCTTAAGTATGATTGCACATGAGATTCAAATTAAATTAAAAAAACGTAAAGTTTATATGCATAACTTTATTATATTTAATGTTTGCAAATTGTGCTAAATATGTGTTAAACTAAGCTTAAATTTTATAATAATAATCTGCCTAACTGCATTAAAGCCACAGATAGATTTGAATTTGAGAAGATAGTGCTGCAGATTGACTTTATAAATTCTTCCAGCAGCTATTCACTTGGATGGTACTATTTCTTTGTAAATATTTCTGCATAAATTAATTCTTCTAGTTAGAATTTATGTATTTTAGTAATATAAAATCTTTAAAGTTTAACATATTAAACTTTTGCCTTGTGATATTTGGTTTCTTTCAATACCTTTTTCCCCCTAAAAATGTAAGTTTTTATTTTATTTATTTAATAAAAAGATGTATTTTAAATTTTTGACCAATATGTGGTCTAGAATTTTATTGACATTTACCTGGAAAAGTAATTTATATCTGTAATTGAGTAGATACCTGTAAGTCGATATCTTTTTTGTAATGTAAAAAAGTTAATAATCAATTTGTTGAAAGAAATCATTCTTTTTGCATATTTGTGAAAACATGGATATGCTTAGATGGTTATTCGTACGTTGCATATGGTTTCACGGCTATATATAAACTCAATAATGAAGAGTTGGCTTGCATATTATTTAATTATTATTAAAAATAACATTCAAACAGTGCAGAGGGTAAACAAAAAAAAGTGTTCTTACTTATTACAGCTAATTTTCTGCATATGTGTTTATGGTAAAAAAGATATGAAAATGATTAAAATTTCACGTTTAGAAAATGCTATGGCTAATAACTAGTATGTAATTTTTACTATTTCACTAAATAAGCTCCACACTTTTCATTTAATTCCTTTAACTTAACAATTATTTTGGACTTTTTAGTTGAGTGGTTAAATTAATAGCTGAGTTTATTATTATTAGGACAAAAACTATAAAAAATTTACTCTAGATGGGGAAAATATTACCATATTTTTTACTTTTATATTCTTCATTAAGCGCGCTGCCATGCCACAGATCCCTGGTTCGATCCTTGGGCCAGGCAAGGTTGACTCAGTCTTTCATCCCTTCAGTGGGTCGATAAAATCAGTACCAAGCATGCTTGGGAGCTAAACACTGGCTGTTCTGCGTTGGGCTGGCCACCCAACCGGAACATCTGGTCTTGTACCTCAGAGCCCAAAGTTCAAGAAAACTGAGATGAGCATAGTAGGCCTTGTCCCTCTGTGGGCTGTCATGCCACTGAGTTTAGTTTTATAAGAAGGCATGCCACTGCAAAACTGAACTACCGTTAAAGCATTAAATTTTATTTTAAATTAAGCGAAAACCTTTATGGATGTGTATGCAATGTTTGTCAAGATGTTCAGTCAAAGAAGCTGTGAGTAATTTGTTTTTCAGTGGCATTTAGGAGATGGAAAAGGACGTATCAAAGTTGACATTAGTTACACAATATCCTGATAACAGAGTCACAGTATCATTAAAATAGTGCTTTCATATGAAATGGTGAGGAGTTTTTAAACATTTAGGAGATGGAAAAGAATGTATGAAAGTTTACACTAGTTACACAATATCCTGATAGCAGAGTCACGGTGGTGCTTTGAATAATAACAAAACAGTATTAGCTGATATATTCCAGCAGCTGTAAAGTCAAAAATGAAGTAACTAGAAGGGATATTACCTTGAATACCAGTAAAGGTGTTTCGATTGTGTCTCTTATTTTCTTTATTTTACAAGACCGCTGACAAAATTTTTTAAAGCCACCCTATAGTACTCTATCTATATTTTTAATTATATTTCACATGTGTTGTACTTCTTGTTTTTACTTAAATCTAATTTCCCGCAGATCCCACAGATCAGCCCACTCTTCCATCCTCAGTCCCACAGCTTGCTCTACCAGCAGCTGCTGCTGCAGCATCAGCGCTAAATACTGTGACGTCAAACGAAGCACAAATGCTTCCATTTGATCCAGAATTAGCTGGTAAGTTATGACAGCCTCTTAGTTTAAATAATTTATAATCTTCCTTAAGTTTTGTCTGTTGATTATAAACAAGGCTGGGTTGCTCATGACCTAAAAATATTTAGAAAGGAAAATGTCATAAAAAATACAGAAAAAAACCCCTAAAATCTTTCAAAAATGACCTTTAAGTGAAAAATAATGGCCTTAATTTTTAAAAATATGTTTTATGTCAGTTTTTTTAATATACATACATATATATATATATACTATTTGAAAGTTAATAATGAGTTACTTAGCAGTATAAATAAATAAATGAATTACAATAAAGTTTTTTAATTAGTTTTAAGATAACTATGTTTTGCAATATAGTTATGTTTTGGCTAAAAATATCTTTGTGAATAATACAATCACTTTTAAATGAAGTGTTGCTCGAGTTTTCAGTTATTTTCTTAACATTTACCAGTGAGAAGTGATGTATTAAGAAGAAATCAAACTATGCAATTGTCTGTATAATAATGCTTTCTTCTGTATAAGTGTAAAATTAATTAGCCCTAAACTTTTTAAAATTAGTTGAACTAGTGTGTAAGAAAATTAAGTTAACATACTAAGTTAATTTAAAGTAAATATCCTATATTAGTTTAAATTTTTTAAATGTTTAAGCTGTTAAAAAAATTTTTCATAGTAAAATTTCTATTTTTGTGGAGATTTGCTACTCAGTAATTACTCATTGAGTAGCACTGTTTCTGTATTATCAGATGACGATAAATGGGCTACTTATATGTATTTTGAAGAAAAATAAAAAAAGTTATAAAGTGGAAAAAAGTTATTTTTGTAAAACTGCAAAAAGCAAAGATCTAAAACAAGAAAAATAAATGCAACCTGCAACATCTAGAATTTTCTAAAACCAGAGCAATAATTTCACAATGTAGCTGTTTTTAATTTAAATTCTAATTTTTAAAAATAAAAACTTTTTGAAATTTTTATGACAGACAGCAAATGACATATGTTTATTGAATTAAAATAATCTGAATTTTTCAATTTGTTTGAAAAACAGTACCATTTTATTATTTAAAATATATTAGATAAAACTGTGATTGAATTTCATCATTAATATCTGCTATGTGTTTCATTCAAAATTAGAAATTTGAAAGAAGGTGTTGAAAGTTTTTAGTATTTCTTTGTGAACTTTCTTTATTTTTAATGATTTGAATTTTTTTAATTGTTTAAAAACGAGTACAATTTTATTTTTTAAAATACAGTAGGTAAAACTGTGATTAAATTTCATCATTAATAATAGCTGTGTCTCACATTCAAAATTAGAAATTCTGAGGAATATATAAGTGGAAAGCTTTTAGTGTTTTATTTTTAGCATTCCTTATTTCTACTTCTACACGTTATATAGTTGAACAAAAAATTATAACAGTGCTTCACTGTGTTTCACTACATTTTTTAAAATCTTTTCTTAAATTTCAGTAAATAATTATTTTTAATGATGTTTTTTAAAACTGATGTGTAATTTTTCAGCAGTTCTTCAACCAATTGTCTCACTTGCAACTCTATCCTCATCTCCTGGATCTTCTGCAACTCAGGAGCCTATTGTATCGACTCCACAACCACTAGCACTTCCTGCAAGTAGCAACTCCTTCAATATGGCCTTAATTCCTACTTCAGAAGGGCTGACAACGGTGCGACCAAAGTGTATGAAACTAAAACAAGTTCCTGGGCGTACCCGAATGTTACTCTCCGATAAAGGTCTTCCATTGGCTATTGGTTCCTCAGACTGTGATAGCTCTTCCAAGGAACAAAGGTATTTACTTTGTAATTTAAAATTAATTTTAATTCTTTATTAATAATTTTTTTTGTTACTTGTGATAAGTTGTACTAGTGACAAGCAGTGCCAGAGTTTCTGCCTATTGTATCAGTGTGACCACAGAACAGGGAAAAGTCAAGGAATTTTGTCCATCTAGAAAATTTAGGAACATTTTAAGGAATAAAAATCAAAATACCCTAAATATCAAGGAAAATGAATTATTTTAATTTCAGGCACATGTAAATTTATTTTTGTCAAAAAATATGGTCATTTAATATTTTTTTAAGTTTCTTGTTATATATTTTGAGCATAAAAATAAGGCACAACTGAAAAACTAATGATTTAATAAATTGGACAGAATTTTGGGAGAATCGGGGAATTCTTTTCTTGGGTGTTATTGAGCACCATTTGTATTCAGAAAGGTAGAAGTAGAGTTTTTCCTGATTTTGAACTGTTCCTTATAAATTTATTTCTGCCAATATTAAAACCAGGGTCTGCATTTTGTCTGTAAAAAATCTATGTCTTTAAGAACTACGTAAAAATGGACAAAGGGAAGAAACTGAATGAGATGGATTAAACTAAAAATGACCAATACAATTGTTTATTAATAAATATTACAATAATAGGTTAATTTTAAACAAAAACTTAATATAGTACCAGAATGTTAAAAAGTTTTTAACTCTAAGTGTTTTTTAAGGAGTAATTACTTTTCCTATTTAATTATGATTTATATATAATTTTGTAAACTGTAAATCATATTTAAGAGTTACGAGTATTCATGCTCAACAGTATTTGATTACAGATATTTGTAAATAAAAATTGGAATTCAATATTTCAGTAGTGTATGTGTGAATTTGTTAATTTAGTTTAATGAAATTTGATTTTGTTATTATGACAGTTTATATAATTATAAATTCTGGTTTAATTATTCTCAATTACACAAAATATTAAAGCATTTGTAATTATTCTCAAGTACATAAAGTATTAAAGCTTTACAATTATTTTAATTTAGGAAATTTATTAAATTTGCATTTCTTTCCAACTGTTGCTTTTTAGTTTTCTAATATTTAACAATGATAAATATAGATAGTGATAAAGATAATGATATAGCTTGCAAGTAACTACTATTATTTAAATTAGATTGTAATTATAATCTGTTTAAATACAAATTGTTAAATGACTAATAGTTCTGTTTAAAAAAGACCTTCTTACAGTTCTTCCTAAATGGTTTTTCCACAGTGGAAGAAACTTGCACTCCCCTGTTAAAACTCTACTCTGCTTTACTGCCGTCCATTATCTAGTTTTTGAAATACATTTTTTATTTTTCTATTATAGATACTTGCCTTTCTGCAACAAGAGAACTATTAGTGTAAATGAAAGTATAGTTTCTCTTCTGCTACAGCTTCATTCAAAATTATCTGAAAGACCCGATTCTTACAAGGTAAAAGAGAGTCTTTCTGAGGTTATCAGTTCTACAATAGATGACATCGATTCTAGAATAGGAGATGGAGCCAAATTTGTGGAGAGACTTTTGGATCACATTGTTGCATCCGGAATAGATAAATTATGTGCAGTTCAATTGATCAGACAAAAGTTATGGCCTCAAAAAATCGACGACTCTTCATCTTCGACTTCAGACTCCTCAGTGGATAAAGAAGAAAGGTATGGCATTTTCTTTATGTAGGTTATACTTTGTGATACAAATCTAAGGAAATAAATTATTTAAATATGGATTCTTAGTATTTACTGTTTTTCTGGTAGAAGTATTTAAAATGTTATAATACCATCACAAGAGTTGTTCAATAAGTCTTCAGGAAATTAAGAAAAGAAATAATGCTCATAGTGACCAAAATGGTTTGTTTTTAGTCCTCATTAGATTTTTAAAGTTCCAATTAAGCTCGTCATGTTTTTTTTTTATTATAATAAGAAAGAAGAAATAAATTTTTGTGTATTTAGAAAAATAGAAGGAATTGAGTTTCATGCGGGTATCAACAAGTCTAGAGGAAGGGTTTCAATGCCCAAAGAGATGAAAGCTGGTTGTTATAAAGTTCATTTCACATCTGCTCCTGTCTTTGCGTTTATTTACAATTGGGTAAATGCGTTTAATTGTGACCATACTTTCACAGATGATCGCATTGTTTAGGGCGCTCGGTAAAAGTGACACTTCCTCATTAAAAATGGACTAAATCCACAAGGTGATTTTGAGATTATCAAAGTATGCAAAATAGTTGAGGTCACAAGCACATTGTAAGTTATGTTATTTTCAATTTTGCATAAAAATTCGGACATGAAAAAAATCTTGGCATGATGTATAAATGCAATTATGTGATTGATTTGGTGGCTTGTATGGAGCTTTATCATCACAATCACAACTAGTTATTGCATTAATACATAACTGTGGACAAGACATGGATTCACTATACTCCAGAAATAAAGGAACTGTGGTGTTTTAAAGATAATCCGGATCTGAAGAACGTGAAATCTGCTTAGAGGATAATTGGCACAGTGTCCTGGGGTGCACATGGAATTCTCTATATCAAACACTTACAAAAAGGAGAAACAAGAGCTAAATAGGAAATATTATGCATCATCATAGTAATGGTTGAGAAAAGAAATCAGAAGAAAACATCATCATTTGGCAAAGAAAAAATTCTGTTTTATCAAGACTACACTAGAGTGCACACCTGTGCAATTTCATAATCAGTGAAGAATTTATATCAAACAAGGAGGTCTTTCTCTAAATTGATGCCTATTTTGAGGATTTTACAAAAATCTATAGTTTGGGCAGAATTAAAAAATTTGAATAACATTAGGGAAGATGTGTCGAGCTTAATATGTTAGGTCTCAGTTTGCATAAGCTTTTAAAGGGTAATTTATAGTTGTAGCAAAAATAGTTATTTATTCCTATCCTATTTCATATATTTTTTTTCTTATCTTACATTTTTTTATCATGTTATTTGCAAAATGTCAACCTTCTGATACAACCTACTGATGTCAAAATATGTTTTAAATTTTAACCTTCAGATTATTTTTTAAATTAAATTATTTTCCCACAACTAATTATTTGACTTTCTACTGTTTTACAAACAGGTATTTAAAAAAAATCTTTCTTAAATTCACATTAAAAGAATTGATAAACTTATTTCTTATATACTGTTCCTGTATAACAAATAATTACTTTTATATTGTATTCTAGGCGTCGGCGAGCTAAAGAACGCCAACAAAAACTTATGGCTGAATTTGCATCAAAGCAAAAAGCTTTCATGCAAAAAACAATGGAAACAGGTTAGTAAATTATTATTATTTTTAATATATTAGTTTTCATATCTTTACACTGACTTATTGTTCATTTTGCTTTTGCTTGAAAAATTTCTGATTACGATCTAGATTTTCTCAATTTTGATTTGAATTACTTTTGAATTGTAAAAGATGTGAAAAAGCTGTTACATCAGATAATTTATTGCCTATGTATTTTATAGGAATTCCTTTATATCTGTTTCCCTGAGTATCTCTTTTAAACATGGCTGCACAGATTGCATATTTAAAAAAACATATAAGAACTTTGAAATCACTTTTTCTGTTATAATGATTTGTTTTCCTTTTTAGTTTTACATTTTTCATTCGTTATTTGTACACTAAGTATTTTATTGAAGTTTTTAAACGTTCATCTTGTTAAACATCATAAAAAATGTTTTTCATGTTTCATGCTCTAGTATTTTTCTAGGAATTGTGGCTTTTTTTTATTATTTTTTTTATAAACAATTTTTAAGCTGTTTCAAAAAAATCCAAATAACATTGAAGACATTGATTGTTTTACAGAATAGTGTCTAATAGTCTTTAATTTATTAATTAACTTAGTATTATTTTTTTAAAAGAAGTTTTTGTAAAGTTATGTTCATGTAAAGTTAAGCCACATTTTAGTGTAACTAACAATTTATGAAAACTTCTTATGGTTTGCTGAATAATTAAGGAACTGTAATATAATTTGTCTGCCTTAGAAAATATTATTCCTTAGCTTACAATGTTGTGTTCGTTACAACCTTCTGCTAAAATCCGAAATAAAATGTCTTTTGTCTTCGAAACTGTGTCTAAATCATCAGATTTTAAATTTTTTTCTGTTATCTTAACTATTTTCTGCCGATTTTCAGAAGCTAAAGCGTCGACATCTGCTCAAGCTGATTCAATTCCAGATGTTAGAAAAGAATTTGAATGTGTCATTTGTGGTCAGATGTCTGCTTCTGAAGAAAACAGGCCAGTGGGAATGGTGGTGCTTTTACAAGCCACAAGTGGTAATTTATTATTACTTAAAAAAAAAAAAAAATTTTAATTTATATATTGTTACTCTTTTTAAATTTTAAAACTTGTCTTACAATGACTTAAGCAAAAAAAAAATTAATAAGATACCAATGAAAGTACATAAATGGACTTTAGTTTGAGTTCTATAAACAAGAACCTTTCTCGGTGTCGAAACTAGTACTCTAGTATATCCATCCTGTTATTAATCTTGTCCTTGAACTGAAAATATAGTATTTCCACTTATGTACTTTCATTTGTACATAAGTGGATTGTTTTTTGTCATAAGTGGATTTTTTCGAATTGTTATTCATATTGTTTTTTGCTTTAGTTTACATAGTACAAAGTATACCCTATCTGTTGTTTAATTGTCTTATGTTAACAGGAATTTTAATTAATTTGTTCTTATCATCACCTGTAATGTTAATTAACATTTATACACCCTTTTGTTTAATTTTAATAATTGTTAATAAGATTTCGTTTATCAAATAAAGTCATATTTGTTATACATAAAAGTGCACCACCCCTTTTGGAAGAAAGCATTAAAATAAAAATGAGCTTTTAGGTGCCTCAGTGAATTTTATTTTTGTATCAGTTGATTCTAGCTCACTTATTGTGTAACTTAATATTTTAAAAGTAAATGCACAATAATTTTTAACCTTTTCAGCAAAAAAAAAAAAAAATTTATAAATTTTTTAGGGTTTATACATTTTTTAAAACTTTTAATTTTTAAATACATTTTTGAATTATGTTTGCTTTAAGTATATTTTGGTTAAAGAAAATTTTAATTTAAAAAAGGTTCAAGATGTGGAAAGAATTAAAATATTTTTTATGTACTTCCACAAATTTGTAATTTTAATGTAGTGTTTTTTTTTCTTTTGAAAATTTATTAGATCTAATTTGAGAAATGTTTATAGAATTTCTTCATCTTGTTATTTAAGTCTTTCCTAGTAGTCATGATTCCCCGTCAAGAACTGCATTTGGCTTTTTGACTGCAGGTTGTGTCCTACTAAATTAACATTCAATTTAGAAAATTTTATTTAATGTTTTCTTCCTAAAATTTCTTGTAAATTAAAACATACTATATCTTTGTATTTTCTTTCAGTTGTTGGTCATTCTCACGAAGTTCCTGATCGAAAATTACCCTGTGATGATAATGAAATTTCAGAGCTACAAAGGGGAGAAAATTTATCTTCTTCCATTAAAAATCGATTAGATATCTTGATGAGATATTTTGATAATGTAAGTATAATTTGTTGTTTAATTTCATTTCCAGACGTGCCAACTCTCCCGCATTTTGCGGGAGTCTCCCGAATTTTGAGTTATTCTCCCGCCCTCCGGAATTGATTTGAAAAACTCCCGAATTTTACTGCGATCGACGGCCAAACTCAAAATTACCTAATTTTTCCGCGAGTGCGAAGGTAAGTTTTTCTTTCAGCTTGAATTCCATCCCCTCTTATCAAACTACCATCTGCCTGAAGCGTAGCTGAACATGCTTTATTTTCCCCCCTCTTCAACGTTACCTCTAAAAACACTCCTATTTCACCCGCCCCCTTACACTGGGGGCGGGTGAAATCTTCCTCTTCTTTCGTGTGGAGTTGAATGCAATGACGTCACATGTCGTTATCGAGTGACGTCCGTTCAGGAGTGGGGAAACTCGTACTCTCGATAGTTGGAATTGATATTGTATCTTGCTGTTTTTATAGTTTTTAATGCGTATTTTTCCACGGTTGGCAACAAGCTCGTAAACTAGCAACGTGATATCAATTATTCGTTTAGTCTTCGTATATTTAAAAAAAAAAAATTTCAAGGATGTCTTAAGTCGAAACGGAAGTATGGATCAATTTCAACAAATCATGTACCAATGACTTTAGCAAGACTTAATTGCGGAGAGCTAAGTCTGCAACTCTTTTTTTCATGCATACAGTAGAGAACCATTTATCTGGTATCCAGATAATCCGGAAAAAAAATTTGCTCGGTTCTCCCGCCATTTTGAACTAAAACGATATGAAAAAAAAAGCGGAAACTGGACTAATCCTTGAAGTTGAGTAGAGGAAAATGTGAGGAAGGGAAGAATTTTTTTCCCCGTTTACCCAGAGAAACGTCATTTCTTCCGCGACCTTGAAGATTTTAGATCTTTATTCTCTTTTAGGTCGTTAAACTCAAAGGAGTGGCATGATGATTTCGTTTGCTAGTTTGATTTACGAGGGGGTGGGGAAAATGCATTGCACATGCATATCAGTGAACAGAAGATGAAAGAGAAAAATATATTTATCTATTTGACATCGATTAATAAAAATAAAATGTTTTTCTTTTGAATAAATTCTGATTCTTTGGAAGTGCGGTATCATTCGCAAGTTTTTCTTGATGTGGAATCACACCTGCTTTAATTAAAAATCGCGTTTTTATAAAAAAAAAAAAAAAGGAGAATTGTTTATTAATTTAAGCATACAATTATTTTATGAAGCAGATTGCAGTTTCGTTTTTCTGATTCCACTACGTTTTTTTTTTCTTTTTCATGATAAATTTTGCACTCAATAAAATTATTTGTATTACCAAATTTTTTCATTAGTTTTTTTTTTTTTTTAAGTCCGTTGATCTTGCCTTGTTCTAGGTTTTAATATTTATGCTAGTGCCGTTTTTTAACTATCGTTTCGGTTCGATAATTTTCAAGTGTTGTTTTTATTTAGATTAATAGGTTTTCCTTTTATTTTCGCCCCCCCCCCCATGAAATATATTGCGTTATTTAATCATTGGTTTTGTTTATTAGTTGATTTAGGAATCGTAATTATTTTTTAAACTTGTTTTTCTTGTCTAAACTTGCAAATTTTTTTATTCTTTTAAATTTTATTTTTCTACAATTTTTTTCCTTTTTAGATTTAGGAGTGCTTTTCTTTTTTCTCTTACTTTAAAATGTGTTTACATTTTTTCCTTGTAATTTGGGTTTGATAAAACATCGATTAACGACACTTTTTTGTCGATCCAGGAAACCGGGAAATTAAGACATCCGGGATAGCGATGGTCCCGAGCATCCCGGATAATTGGTTCTTTATTGTACAGACATTAGTATTGAATTGGTTTTTTAAAATAAAATACTTATTCAATTTGTTTATTTTTTAAAAGTTTTTGTGTATTTTTATTACAGTGTCGGGTTTTTGAATAATGTTTTATTAAGGAAATGGTATTTATTTAAAGAGTATCTACCTAATATAGTTTTGTGTTGCTAAATCTGTGTTTAATTATTTTATTTCCATTTAATATTTTTAAACAATTATTGCTCTATTAGTGTGTAAAATTTCTTGCATTCTTATATTTAATAAATTTTTTACTTAAAATTCCTTAGAAGTGTCAAATATTGCATACCGTGCGCCTTTTTTTATCCCTCCTGAAATCTCCTGAATTCTTGTTAAGGAAACTCCTGAATGTTAATTTTGCTAGGTTGGCACGTCTGCATTTCAACTACACAGAATTGTGTTAGTTTTAAGTGGGTTGCAGGGGTAGAGATTCAGAACTTAGTCACTACTTGGTAGACCAGTAACTAAGAAACATTACCAGTCTGTATGCATTTTCACTGGTTCCTTTACATGTCTCCATAGTTTTTTTTAAAAAAAAGTAATATAAATTTGAATAAAAAATTACAAGGCAGAAATTGTGTAATGCTTAAATTATAGTAAAATATGATATTTTTTGGAGAAAATACAATCAAAATTGTACATTTTCCCATTATATTGCTGATTCCTTGGGCCATTAATTTTATGGTAGTCCAAATCAAATTTTAATGATTTCCGAAGCAATGGACTATCTTAATTTTGAGCCCTGAGTTGTTAGGTACACTTGCTTAAATTAAGATGTGGGCAATTTTAAAATTTAGTGAAGAATTTTTTCTTTAGACTGTTTAAATAATGAGTAATATTCATTGATAGTTTTGCATCAAGGATGTGCAATCTTTTATAAATAATGGGGCCTCAAAAACTAGGAAATACGATGTTTTGAATGTAAAGTTGTAATTTGAAAATATAGGTTGTGCTTGTATCCTATTCACTATTATCATGTAGGACTTGTAAATTCATAGTTACTTTCTATCCACAAGTGCAGATAAATAGATAATGAAAACAAATTAAGGTATTTAATATAAATAAATCTGGACAAATATAGGTACAGGGTTTCAAAGTAATTGATTACAAAACATTTGTAGATATATAAGAAACAAAAATTCTGAAATTAAAAATTCTCATTTACCCCTAAAATTTAATTTCACTACAATTCTGTAATCAAATTGTGTTTCCAAAAATACTAATCTAATTAATGTGATAGATGTATTGTTCATTCACCCGGAGTTGGCACTTGACTCCACCTCCTTAGATGCAAAATTAATTTCATTGCGGAGATATTGGAGAAAACATCCCTGGGCTTGTAATTGAGACAATCCATAATGCACGCCAAACTGTGAATATATATTTTTTCATCGCTTATTCGCTTTATCTTCTGCTGTATGATGTTATACTTTTCTTAACTCTAGATATATTTTAGGCTTTAACACAGAAATTTTTTTTCTTGTTATATTAGTGTGTATGTTCCTATGCATGTGTATGTAACTTTCTCCTATATATTTTTCATATATATTTATTAAGAGGAGATCAAATCAAAAGGTTTCAAAGCCATTGTTGTCCTGCAAGTAATAGGTTGTGCATTCTTGTTTTACGTTTAAAATGTTCATGGTTTTAAAAATGTTCTTTGTTTAAAAAATTATTGTTTATTGTAATATTGAAAGGTGCAATTTTTTTTTTTTTTTTTTGGAAACTTTTTCTTCTTTAGTAAAATAAACTTATAACAGATTTCAGTTTTCTTGTATCATGGAAATATCCAATAATTTATTTTATTTCTGAAAGAGCTGAAATTCATCATACCTTTAACTTTTTTAGTAAATCCTTGAACTATTATTATCAAAAATAAAATTTTTTTGGTTAAAATATTTTTCGAAGACTTAATTCATTCAACATTTTGAACTTATTACTTTAAATTTACATTTTGAAATAATAGTCATAATTTCCTTGTTTTTTTTTCTAAAATTAATTGAAATTAGTTTAAAAAATTAACAATTTCTTAATGCTAATCAGATATGTAATTTTAACAATTTTTGGTTTGATCGCAATTTTGGTTAATAAGCATTTGAAGTTTCTTCTACTTTTTCTTCTTTAATAAAATGAACTTAAAACAGATTTCAGTTTTCTGTGTTATGAAAAAATTATTTATTTTATTTCTTAAAATATTAAAATTGCTCTTATCATTCATTTTTTAGTAACTCCTTGAACTGTTATTATCAAAATGTTTTTGCTAAAATATTTTCCATAAAAAAATACTGATATAATTCTTTTGACACCTTGAAATTACTACTTTTATATTTTGTAATTATCAAGTCTTTTTTTTAAAAAATTAGTTTGTTTGGAAAACTAAAATTTACTTTATGCTAGTTAAGTATGCAATTTTTCTAATTAATTTCTGATTTGACGGCATGGGGATGCATATTCACTTCTTAAGTGCTCCGCTTGACTCTTAGGCTACATGATTTGCACCCCTACTTTCACTATTATTTTTTCAGTTTTGATTTCACTAAAAAATATTAATAGAAATAGAAGATTTTTCTTAATTTTTTTTTCAATACTTAATCTGAAAAGTTTTTATTAGTTTTTTGAAAAAATTACATTCTTATCACAAAACATATTCAGATAAAAGTTTACTTGACTCTCATATGTCTCTTGACTCAATATTTTTAAATTTAAAAAGAATTTTTTATTTTGTTAAGTTTCTTTAGCTTAAAATAGTAAGTTTAAATTTCTTTCTTATATAAAACACATCCTGCTAGTATTGTTCCGTTTATTTGATAAATAAATTAACTTTTAATCTTTATATTTTCAGAGATTTTGGCCAATGGCATTAAATATAGGTTGGGAAGGCGGAGTTCACGTGCAGTCCTGTGGTCATTACCTGCATATTGACTGCCACAAATCTTACATGGTATCTCTGAAGGTACTTATCCTTATTTTAGATTATTATTATTATTATTACAGCATTTTAGAATTAGAAATTTATTGTGTTTGATAGATTTTTATGTGATGTAGGACTGTTTATTCAAAGTAAAATTGATTTTTAAGTAGTTGTGTTGCACTGTACTGTTACCAAGTTGCATTCCAGATACAAAATAACAATCATATTTGCTTCAATGTTTCTTTACATTCCAAAATCGTCAAAATATATATATATATATATATATATATATATATATGGGTCATTCNATATATATATGTTAAATTATGTTAATATATGTAATATGTTAAATTATGATATATATATATATATCATAATTTAACAATTATGCACATTTAGGAAAATTTCTTTAAAAGTTTAAGCTGAAATTTTAATAAATGATAAAAATATTATGTTTATTGCACAGGTGTGCATGGCATGATAGATAACTGCTATAAATGCTCGTTTACTGTATTACTGTAATGTTGATAGATGGAATAATATTAAACTGGTGTTTTTATTATTGTGAGTTCTACAACTTCTTTAGTTTTTATCCAATTTCTTTAAAAATGTAACAGCATGTAAATTATAAATGTGTAGTATGCAAAATAAACTCCCTGGATAACTTTTCATTTAAAGATCAAATTTTCACTTTTAAGATTCAATATTTTTGGGACCTAACTTTAAATATACTAATTGATTAGTGCAGAGAATATATTAAGTGGCAATAAAGTAATTAATCTTCTTAGCATGTGATTTCTTTAGAAAGTTATTTTTTGTTATTCATACATTGATGATCAGATGGGATTGGCTTATTCATAATCACTGTGAACCAGATAATTATTGAATGTAATCATTCAAATACACTACTTTAATAAATTGGCTATAACCCCAAATTTTAACGTTTAAATACTTTTCAATAGACGTTGTTGTATTGTGATGATACTTTTCAGAGTACCACTGGATACAGTAGTATGAAAATCTCTAGACCACTATCATGATTATGTTAGCTCCTAAGTGTTATCCCGGCTTTTCACAAATCTTAAACTACTGGCAGAAAAGCACATTTTTGCCGTATTATTTTGATAATCTGTAGCAAGGAAATTTCGGTAAAATTTTCTTAGGAGTTTCATACAAGGAGGATTGGTTATTACACCCTTTTGATTAAAAAAAAACTTTTAATTATTATGTATATTCTTTAAAAAAAAAGAATCCATATTTTATTCAATGTGTGATGAGTTCATTTACATGCAGAAACAAACAAGTAAAGCTTTATCCTAATTTAAAGTTTTTGATTTTCCTGTAATCAAAAACCCGTTTTTCTCTTGTCCTTTTGATTAGTAGAGAAATTTTAGTACATCTTACTCAATACTTCAAGGGCTAGTCATAAGTGCATTATTTTTTTTAAATTTTTATTATCTATCTATAATTTAAAGAAAAAATAGATTTGTTTAAATGTGTAATTAAATTTGTTAAAAAAAAATAGTAGTTCTTCCAACAGTCCTAGCAGAGTTTTCATTCAAAGCTACTATTAGCATTTAATTACATGGTTTTTGAATTTTTTTTCTTCTCATTACAGAGTCAAAATCAGTTATCATCACGCTTACAAAACTTAGCTGTTGACCAAGGTGAATATTACTGCCCCCTGTGTCGACAGCTTGCAAATTCCGTCATACCCCTGAGGCCTAACTTCGATAAAAGAGTTGCTATTATACAATGTCCCGGTTCAACATGGAGTGAATTAGTTTCTGAAGTGTCTGAGTTTTTAGCCTCTCCCTTGTCAGATGTAAGTTTGTTTATCATTTCTGATTGATTTAACTTTGTTTAATAGATATAGTCTGTTATGTTTGGATTCATATGTTTTTGTTTATTAGCATTGAAATAATTTTTGTGATCAATATGATTTTTCTCCGTTTTTGTGAATGATTTTAGCAATAATCAGAAAAATGGATTTTTTTTAAGTGTATTGAACAAACATAAGACTTAAACATTTAAAAAAACACAGAGACTTTTAATAAACCTAGAAACACCCTGCAATCAGCAGAGAAAGAGATTTTTATAGTATATTTTAATGTAAAACACAACTAAAGTAAAACGAAAAAATAAATCCTTCAATATTGAGGAATTTTTTTTCCTCTGTTCTCTCTTTTTTATTTAAAACTTTATTAAGCATAACTTTAAAAGGTTAAACTTAATCAATGAGTTTGTATTTTTAGAAAACTTATTTTATTGTTTCCGTTTTTAAATTACAACACCGTGTCCTATTTATATTTAGTTATTTGCTAATTTTTCCGTGGTATTTTTTTTATTCTGAAAATTGGGAAACATTGATTCATTTAAATAATTGCGGAATCGATTAATTTTGTTTGAAACACAAAATTAATCGGCAGGACAGAAAAAATCAAGCAAATTAATTTGTTAAAAATTGATTTTTGTTATGCATGTCATCTTAGCATGTGTATTGTAGCCTTCAAATCAGTTGTTTGGTAGATAATAAGTGTGGCATGCAAAAATTAGTGGTCTCATTTATTTTTTCTTTGGATGCTTTACACCATTTCAAATACAGGGTAAACTCTTTTTTTATATTAAAGATAATAAATTAAATGAATGATTTAGCAAATAAATTGAATCAAAAACTTTATTAATTTATTGTTGCCTTAATATATTAAGCATTCCAATAGGCTTTTTTTTCATCTTTTAAAGTTATGAAACAATCTAGTCAGAAAATGTGAAGAGTGCCTGTGATCTGCAGTTTTTATTTAATAAATTTTTTACGGTCTAAAATCTACAAAAAATAATTGATGTTTTTATTGTAACTGGGCATGCATTCAACAAAAGTTATGGTTAAACTTCTTAATATTTAACTTCTGAATAGTTTAGACTATATGTTACATATGAGTGATTAAAAGCCATAGTAAGCAAATGTTGGTAATAAATAAAAATTGTAATTCATTCTTTATTTGGTTTCAACTGTACAAAAATATATGAATTTTCCACTTAGTTGACTATGTCATTGGGAGCATACAATTTACATTAAATTATTTTTACTCTCTCTTTTTTTTCAAACATGTATTTAGTGATATGACTGTTAATTCTTAATATTATGATCTTCAAAAATTTACATTACAGAAAAATTATTTTACTGAAAAAAGTATATTACAGGGAAATACATACATACATTATATAATACAATACATTGCCTGACAGGAAATACATTACAGTAAAAATATTATCTGGCCCAAAATTTATTCAGAAACCATGTTTTCCGCAAATATCCCTTTAGTGGAAATTTTTTTTTTTTTGTTGATAATGTTAATAGTAAGGTTTTTGTAAATCCTCCCAGCCAAGAAAAATGTGCCATATATTCAATGTTTGTATATTTTCCATTTTTTTTAATTCTATAAAGTAGGTTTTGTCAAATTAATATTATAATCAAAGAATTTCAAGACGCTTTAAAATTTACTTCTTATAAAATCTCATAGATAATTGATAAGGCTTTTAAAATATTAAGAAAAGTGTGTTTTGTTTTGCTGCCTGAAAAAATATTTTTCCTATAATATTTTTTTATTAATTTTTTTATATAATTAAACTTTTACCTTGTATTTAAATTACCTTAATTTCATTCAAAAGCTTTTTATGTTAGGCATTTTTTGCACTACCTACACTAATCTTAAAAAGAAATTTAAAAAAAGAGTTATACCCTGTATGTTATGAGTGTTAACAAATTTTCTTCACCCGCATACAAAAGTATGTGATTCAAAGACATCTCTTTTTGCTTCAACTGCTGATCATTGCAGAAAAACTCGCTCTTCTTTCATGGGAAATTGACCCCAAAACAAGTTGATGGTGTTGTCCATAAGTTACAATGGACATTTCAAAGGTATAAATACCGATTCGAAAAACTTTGTTCTAATATGCAAGACAAGTTTTCTGCCATGTTTGTAGATAACCTTAACATTCTTTATCCTCAGTCACTTTTACAGGGCAAGGTAAGATTTTTCTGCACCATGCTAAAGAGGAAAATGCATGCATTTAAAATTTTTGAGATCTAAAAATTTGCTATCTTAAAAGTTGAAGCAGAATATTAAGAGAAATTTTTTTCAATGGTTAAAAGCACTGAGCTGTCATTCTGGAGCACTGGTGTTCAATCCTCAATGGCCGCTTGAAGACCACCCAGCTTCAAATCTATGTTTACCAGCTTATCTGGCAAGTAAAAAAGTTACGAGGAGGTGTTATGGAGGTTTACTGTACCTTGATTATTCCATTTGGTCATGAAATTGTGTAGCTTTAAACTCTTTAACCCCCTTTTTCACAGTAGGCGGTTGCTGGAATATTTTACTTTTTTTTTACTGAGTTGAACAATTCTCATAAAAATTCTATATTAATGGTCTTTTTTATGTTAAAACTATTTATTATGTTAACATTTCATAAATCACTAAATAATTTTGTTAAAATTATTGAATTTTTTCTCACATTTCCATTATTATCAGATTACATTCAAGATAGCTGACTTTAAGAAACACGAAATAAATAGGAATTATATTTATTTTAATGGATAACTCTTTATGGTTCAATGATATGGAAGTAATTCTTAAATTTTCATTTGTTTGAATGGATCAATTTTTTTTAAGTGGATGCATATTCCTCTTTATATTGTTAGTATTACTATGCAATTTTTAAGTTTTCAAGAAAGTATTATAATTTTTTTAAATGATTGTATTAGTTATTTGTATATATTCTATTTAATTTTTGGTTTACTCACTGACTGCAATATTTAAAACACTCAGAAGCATTATATTGTTATTCATATAGTGCAAACATGTGGGGGGGAAATATTAGAAATTTTTTTGATAACATAAAAATAATCAAAATATTTTTTCAAAATAATCTAAAGTAATAAATTATTTTTAATTACATAAAAATAATAAAAAAATAATCAAAATTTTTTGGAAAAGTTATTATTAATTTATTTGCAGAAATGAACATAAATCTTCATTTTCATTTGTATACATCTTAATATTGTTTAAAATTGTTTTTCCTTATAGTCATTCAATTATGTTTGCTGTTGGAAAGGAAAAGAATGTTTTCTTGATTGTATCGATATATTTTTGATATCAGAGTGATTGTACTCTGGGGGTACCCCGGAATTCCGGATTTTCTGTATTATCCTTCCAGGTCAATCTAAATATTAGGAGCAGGACATATGATTTTTCGGGGAATATTGCGGAATTACGTGTTTCTCAAGACCATTGGTGCTCGAACTTTTGCTAATCAAAAACTTATAATCTGACGAAATTTTTATGGGATTCTGCAATTTAAATTCAAATTTTTAAACATTCGCTGATGCCCATTAATGAGAATTTACATACACATTATTCTTCTTTCAATGGGCAGAAATTCAATTTGATTCTTCTGGCTTGACAGATTTTCGCACTTTTGAACTGTTCCAGAATCCGCTAATATCGCGATTCTTATTCGCATGGTTTGAATATCAAACATCGATTTTCGTATTTACTTAATCTAAAAGTTACACATTATGATTTATATTCACGTGATTTAATCTCATGTGACTGCTTGAATGCTTATTTATTTTTCACTTTGCTTTTCTCACCCCACAGTCAATCTTTTCTCAAAATAGATTTTGTTTTCTATCGATCAGGTGAATAAGACTATTGTAATGAGAGAAAAGGGGAATTAAAAAAAAAAAATTTAATTTATAAAAGAAAATGGTTAATACCAATCTAAAGATTATAATTTAATGCATATACTTCTAATGTATATTAACAAAATAAGAAAACGAAATGTAAAACAAGTGAATTTATTTATATTAATTAAACAAAAACCATTGAATCAAATCAAATATCAAACTTAATGCTTTCGAAGTATTTATTTTAATGCTTTTTAAATCAAAAGTAAATATTAGTTTTGTATAATTTATTTAGTTCAAAATTTTTTTGAATTATTAGTATAGGCTTCTAGTGCTCCCTTTTTTTCATTCCTTTATTGTGCTTTTTAATGTTATAATTATACTATGGTTAATGATGCTATACAAAAAAAGGCATTTTATTAATAAAAATTCATATGACATTGCTTGACTTGTTTTAGTTTCTATTAAGGAAAGTAAGTATCTGAAATTGGGTTTGTTAATTTAAGTATAAAAACTTTATTTAATTACTTATAGATAATTTAGCCAACTCTTTTTTCCCCTTATTTTATTTTACATGAAATAAATTTAAATTACTCTGATTACTTAATGAGATAAAAATTTAATTTATCTCATTAAGTAAGCATTTAGAGAATTCAATCATATTAATTTTTTTTTCCAATTGTGTGTTATCTTTTTTAAAACTATTCTACCTGGATTTTAAAAATGTTTTATGGAATCATTTTGTTTAATTAAACAAATTTTTAAAAATAAATTGTTTGCATAGTGAAAAAGCTTGTTTTGCAAATAGCAAATTTTATTGCATATTTCTATATCCATTGCTAAAAATGTAAAAAAAATAAGATAATAATGTTCATAGTAAACCTCATATATTGCAATTAATTAATGTACGAATAGTCATTAGGCATTTGAAAACAGCTCATTTATAAGCTATAGAGATATTAAGATAATTTTTTTAGAAATTTTTTTTTTAAATTTACAAGAAGTAAGCTTTTGTTGATTTTGTAACATTTGTGGATTGAACAAATATTTTAATAATTAAAAAATTTAATAATTAAACTATCCTTTAACTTTGGAGAAATAATTTGATCATTAAAAATTCAATCATTAAATTCAAAATTATTTCTGATTTGCTTAAACCTGTGCTAAAATTTATACACATTATGTTTACATGTGTCACAGTGATACTCATGTAAATTGAGTGACCTCTGTTATAAAAAATAATAATAATCACATTATCAAAAATAAATTTTATAGTTTTTATTATGTTTCAACCTTTTATAAATTTCTATGCCATTTTAAATCAAATTGAAGTTTTCTCTAATTTTTATTCAGTACAAAAATAGCTTTAGTATTTTCTGTTGGCAATCTGTCCAATATGTTGAATGTTGCGAATTTTGTTCTATTTTTAATTTTATCATCAAATCAAACGTATAATAAAGAAAGTTAAAAAATAGGGTTCCTTTTTTATAGTTAGAGCACTATTTTACCTTATTAAAAATGTTCAGAAGATTAGTAACCTTTTACCATCATAATGTTTTCTTTTTGTTAAAATTTATAAATCTTTACTTTTGCTTTATAAAGAATAACCTATATAATTTGTAATATCTTAAATTTTTAGCTTATTTAACTCATAATTGTCTTATAATTCATAATGCATGATATTTGTGTGCTTTTTTAATGCTTAGACTCTCACGAAAGTAAGTATAAAATGCATAATTTGTATAAAAATAAAGAGGCTTTAGATGGTTTTTGTTTTTAAGTATATATTAAGTTAGATTAGTTAGATACTTTAGATTCTTTTCTAACTGTATTTGATAATTTGGTTATATTTACTTCCATTGCAGATTAGGTTTCTGTATATTTCTTTTAAATATTCTTTATGTATTTTTAACATTTTGTATAATGCAATTCATATTTTAAAATGCAATTCCTTATTGAGCTATTATTTATTTTTCAAAATTTATTTTGCTTGCTTCCTGTTTTTTGCTAGATGAAATTTTATCAGTATACATCCGTTTTTCTGATTTTTGCAATTTTGTTGTTTTGTTTTCCAAATTTCTATAAATTTAAAATCATTATTAATATGTAGTATACCGTTGCATATATATTTTAATTATATAATCTTCAAGTGTAAGAATTTGTTATTCATGAAACTTGATCATTTTCTTTATGCCAGTTGCAAAAGTAGGGTTAATTCGGAACATTTCATGTTTTAAATCAAGGCATTTTATAATGAACTTAAGTTAGTTTTTAATGTTAACTTATAATGTTTACGTTAAATTTTGTAATAAATTGAATGTTAATTCAATCTAAACACTTTCAAACTGAATGATATTTTTTTCTTTTACAAAGTATGTAAATTTATTTTAAAATTTTGTAATTATAGATTTTTTCTGTACAGGCTGTAAGAAAACAGCAATTCTTTAAATTATTTATTACCAAATTATCTAACACTGTACTTTATGATTTAAATTTATGTGCAGAAAAAATAAAGGTTTTTATTTAAATTTAAATCAATTTTTTATATGTTCCAGTTTATAACTTATCATTTAATAGTTTTCCCATTCTGTTCCGATTTTGTGTTTGAAAATGACTCATAATTTTAAGAGTGAAAGATTAGAGATGATGAATTTATTTTATTTACATAATATAAATTTATAAAAAAAATTTAACATGAGCAAAATACATTTTTCAGCTATAAAAACATAATGTTAAAAGTTATGTTTTATTTTTAATATGTAAAGCAAAGAAGATAATTTCGAAATCTGCAAATTTGTTTGTTACTTAATATTAGTTAAATGTTTTTCATTATACACTGAAAATTTCCTAAAATTATTTTAAGATTAATATTTTGTGAAATAATTAAAGGGGTTGGGACAATAGTTCACAATTTGTCTTAAGATGGCATTTTTGCATTAAACTATACCTAAGTTTTGTTTTCAGATACTTTTTAAGATTCCAGAATTTCCCTTGTTAACAACACAATGTTTAGAAACATAATTTTACCTACATGGAAAGAGTGCTGTTTTTCATTAAAAATGCTCTCCTCAAATAATATAAAAAATTGCTTGTTTTTATATTGCCCCAAACCTTTCAATTATAAAATTTCATGTAAATCTGTAAATAATGGCATTTTCGTTTTATGACAAAGAATAATGTAGTAGATAATATATATCTAATAAATGTTTTTGTTAACAGGAAGATTTAACTCTTCTAAAGAAATACATGGGTGGCATTATGGAAGACGTAACAAATGCCACCTTACCTGTTTATCGGTCACCAGCCTCCCCTAATTCCAGCAGTCTCTTCTTATTTGTGTGCTCAATTGTAAGGTTTGTAATCAAAGCTAATTTACTTGTTCTTCGGGGTGTAAATTTTGATTTTTGTATGCATTGTGAACCAAAATACTGTGCTATTACATTAAAACTGTAACACAATGCAAACAGGTCACATTAAGATACGTTTTTGAAAATTCTGCGATCCATACAAATGTTTAAAAAGTGATGGCGAAACTGCTTCGTTTCTGCTCTGTTTTTCAAAGAAATTAACCATTTGTTTTGACAACATACATAAATAGTTCAATTATGTGTGATCAGTACTATAATCGCCCATAGTAATTTTTTTTTTTAAATGGAAGTTGTAGCTTTAGTGTAGCTATATTGCCTACCACATTTTGAGAACTTTAATTTATAACAGCTGTAATACATTTTTTGGAAAAGTTGCCCTCATGCAATGTGTTAAGAAAAGAAGTCTAATTGTAAAAGGTGAAAATCGGTCAAAACCTTTTTTAGAGTGAATATTTTTTTAAAATTTTTTACAAATTATTAATTTTGAGCTTTGCTTGCTATTATGATTGTAAATAATGAACTTAGAGAATAGGCCATGCATTATACTTATTAACCTTTAAATAATCTATTGCTATTATCAACAAGCATTTAAAAAAGCGGCCACGAATAAATTTGACTGTAGAAACCTTTATGCAGAATTTTAAGAAAATCAGACCAACTTTAAGTTATCACATTTAAAAATAGAGAAAGTAACAAGAGACTTTTTGAGATATTAGATAAAATATCTCAGAAAGTACCCTTAGTATGCCAGCCTATTGGTAATTAGTTTTTTTTTTTTAAATTTATTTATTTTTAGTATCATTAATTTCTGTCTAATTGAGATTTAAGAAAAATGCTAATGGCTTTAGAGTTATGAAAATGAACTCTTTTTATTCTATATAAGAATGTGATGACTTGCTGTAATTGATCTGTAAAATGTGTTTGAGTACCATAAGAAAATTTAATATACAGTCGAACTTGTTTATAACGATCTCGGATTTAACGAGGGAAACGAGAATATTTGGTTGGATCAATGTTAAGTCTATGGAACAGAAGTCGCTTTTAACGAGCAAGACCCGGTTTTAGCGAGCAATATTTTTCTGTCTGGCAATCTTTTTTCTCATCTTTCTAGTCTTTCTGTCTTATCTTTTTTTCAAAATGATATGAAATGCGCGAGTTAAAAGTAAGCTGACAAACTATTTTAAATACGTAGATTAATGAAAAAAATAAATGTTTTGGTAAGAATCTTTTCCTTTATTTTTCTTTCCGTTTATATTTCCTTTCCTTTAAGACTGCAGCGCAACTAGAAATATTTTGCTGGTTTGGGGGGAGGGGTTAGTTGTCACTAAATTAAGATAAATATTTAATTAAATTAATTAATGTACTTAAGTAAGTATTAATTAAATTTTAAGTCAACTCAATCATTTGACGTCCCAAGCCCCCCCCCCTCTTCTGGTTGCACGTCTGCCTTAAGGACCCGTTTATAACGAGTACATGTTACGGTCCCTTTGTGCTCGTTATAAACGAGTTCGACTGTATTTTATTGCATAGTTTTAACAGAAGCAATCTTTTAAAAAAACATTTTATTATTTTTATTTCAGAACTAATTTAGAAGTTGAACTTATCCAGAAACGAAAAATGGAGATGGGGAAGAAAAAATCTTGTTTTGGTGAGATTAATATTGTTGATCACAATTTTTTACTGCCAATAAATAATATATATGTAATTATGATATCTTTGTGTATTTGAAACTTTAACTTCATAAGGCATTTTTGTAAATTCTTTATTTTTTTACCCAGATTGAAAGGCTATCATCATATTAAATTACTGAATCTGCAAAATTTCTCTTTAAAAATAACACTAACTGAAATTTGTAATTTTTTTTTTGTTGAAATATTATGAGCTTTGGTTAATAGGTTAGCACATACAACAAAAGTGCCAATTGTTGCTACTATTTTGAGCCAGAAGAGATTTCTTTTTTGCAAAAAAGGGGCTGAAAATATAACTATTTTCACCCAAAGGCAACTATTATGCAACCTTTTTTTCTCGTTTTTCTAAGTTTTCTAAGTTTTTTCAATATCTGGAAAATAAGTCTGGAAAATATTTCCTTTTTCTTTTCTTCTCTTTTCCCAGATCATGTCATGATACATTATTTTCACCTTAAAACCAAAAATTTTATTTTTGATTTAAATGATTTAATAAAGTGCTTTTAATTCTTCCTCTTTGAGGTTTAATTTTATTTGTTAATTTCATCATTCGTTCTTTTTTCTTCTATCAGTAGTGGCTTTAAAATATGTTTTTTTTTTACACATATCCAGCTATATATTTTCTGTTTTCAAAATTACGTGATTGCAAATACCTATAAAATGTAATTGATATGCTCAAAATAAATGGTAATTAAATGTGTATGTTTCCACCCCATGTTCTTACTGTACATAAAATTTAGACTAAAAAATTTGGTCTTTGGCTACAATTTTGATATATTCGGGCAGCTATTTTGATGCCTATTTGAAAAAATAGACTGACTTTTTTTTTAAAGTTTGTTATTTTGAAATTTATTTAATGGTATTTTTCAAACATAGCTACTAATCTGTTGCGTTTTCAGAGGAAGCTGCAAAAACTTCACTATTTAAATGAGTTTAATTCTCCTGGACCTTTCAAGAAAATATGTTTCTGTCTTGTTTGAAATTGGTTACTATATGAAGATGGACTGCAGGTCAAATTGAACTTTTGCAGGATGTGACTGCTAAAGGGCATAATGCCATTTTATTTTAATTTATTTTTGTAACTGAAATTGTAAATTGTGTTAAACAAATTGTATGTTTAGAAATATTAATTAAAATTATATGAGCCGCAGTGGCTCAGGGAATAGAGTACTTTCCTCCCAATAAGGTGACCCAGGTTCACTCCCAGCTCCGTCTGGTCGATTCGAATTCTGCTTCCAGCTCCTCAGTATCCTCAGTGGTCATGGGTTAGAATACCCTTACTGTCAGACTAACTGTGAGGGGTATTCATGGTTTTCCTCTCCATGTAGCACGAATGGGGGTTAGTTCCATCTAAAAAGTGTCCTTCACTACGACAGATTTCTCCTAATGCTTTATACAGTAGCTCCATTGTTTTCTGGATCGGGTTCAAAATTGAAGTTGAACATTGATAGAAGAATTTGTTCAGATATTTTAATACTGGTTATATAATAAAATAAAACTGAAATTGCATAATGATGTCGATTTAAATTTTTGTGCCTATTTTCGAAAAGTTGTTTGTAATTACTTTAATTAATTTAATTGGTAATTTGTAATAACAGCCTAAAAAAAGTTTATTTGTAATTTTATTGATATATTTTAAGTTAAACATGTTCTTTTGCATGTAGTACCACTCTTCAATGTACTGTCTCTGCACTCCAGTCTTCTTGCACAAACCATAGACAAAAGTCAAGGAATGGATTATGCAATGAAAGTGTGGTATGGTTTAACTGGTCAAATGGCATCAGATCATTATTCGTAAGCAATATTTGTTTATTTTTATTCATAATTTTAATATATCATATATGGCAAGTTTCTTCCATGGTGAAAAAAATCACAGTAAAAACCATAGAAAAAAATGCTCCTGAAGAAATAGGCTTTTTTCGACCCATGTAGAAGAAAATCTTTTAAAAAAAACAGGGAAAAAAAGTCAGATATTAAAATAATTTTTTATGTATCTTATAATTACAATCCAGTTTAATTAAAAGGATTAATTTCAAAGTTATGAATTATATCATTTTGAAATATGAAACTAAAAAGTAACAATTAAAAAGAAAAATAAATTTGATGAATTTCTGGAAAAATTAGAATAAATATCCTTTAATATTTTATGTCAATGAGTATAGTAAAACCTTTTTTATAATTATGTAATTTTGTATATGTAATTTTTATCTTCTTTGCATGGTTTCATATGAAATTTTATTTATTAAATTTCAGCAATTCTTAAAATACTTGCCAAACAATTGTATTGATTTTTTTCCTCCATTTTGTCTAGTTTCTTTCATTCCCCCCCTCCTCCAGTTTCTTCTATTGTCTTCGAATAAACAGGTTTTTACCACATAGAATGCCAAACTTGATATATATTACAGGGAGATTATAAAATAGCAAAAGATGTTTGTAACTTAATAAATTAACAGGTTTAACTCAAAACCTATTACTCTTAAAGTCTCTGGAGTTGAGTTTGAATGTTCAATATATACAACCAGTGGAAGATGATTGGTGATTTCGTAAATGAAACTTGATTATTGCTCAAGAAATGTAAGGAGAAACAAAAATCTGAAGGCCAAATGTGTGGCCTTAGGCATTTTTTTTTAATTACTCTATATTTAAAGTTTTCTGTATAAACTTATCTAAAATAAATAAATTACCAAGCATTATTTAAATTTTTATCTGCATGAAATTTAAGAGTTTCATTTTTAAATATTTTTTTCAGGTTGACGTGTTTTCAGACGGAAGTGCCTCTTTTGCTTAGAGATCCAATTGCTTTACTATTGCAAATTGTTCTTAGTTTACCAATGAATTTTGACAAAGGTAATCATTTGTATTTTTTTTTTATGTACTCACTGTGCACTTATTGGAAAACCTGAGTCTTTACAAATGTTACTGGCATTTAACAATAAACACCAGACTAATTTAAAAAGTTTTCAGTATTTTCTAATTTGCTTCATTCTTTTTAGTCTTATTATAACTATATGTCTCTTTCAGCAGATTAGGAAAGGTGCAAAGAATGACTTGACTGATATATCTGTAATAAGACTTTTTGCTTAGGGTGATTGCAATAAACCTTTAGTAAGGCTATTTGAAATAAGACTTTACTATAATAGGCACTGGGCCTATTGTAAATTGTCTGAAATAAATAAATGCATAAAATTATTCAGTAATCAATAATATTATTTAATTAGATTAAAGAAATGTTGGTTCACTGCAATAAGCATAAAAAATGACAGGCTGATTATAAAACACTGGAGATTTTTCATTAGCCTGGCACATTGCAAAATGAAGGCTGCTGTTTGTATTGAGCCAGATTATTCAATTAGTCTACATCAGTGGTTACCAAATGGCGGCCCGTGAACTAAAATATATTAATTGTCATTTTTTGTGAACAATTTTCTTAAAAAATCTATATGAGTTTAAAATACTTTTCTTTCGTTTAAAGAAACCTAATTTCTTCGTTTCTTTGAAATTTAACATACCAACAGTGCAAAAAAATTTATTTCTCAAGTTTTAAATCCAAGAAAATATTTATTCAAATGCAAAATTAATCCTGTGTGTTGCTTAAAAATTTACTTCTTATTTTGATTTGTAATTCAATATGTTTGTTTTGTACAACTTAATAAAAACCTGACTGTAATATTTAATGTTCCTTGAAACATAAAAGAGTCCTATATAAAATTTTGATAAAAGTTGCAGCTCGCCATTTGACTGGTATTTTAATTGCAGCCCCCGTCCTCATGTTAGTTGGAAACCCCTGGGCTACATCATATATACTGCTAGGATTTTTCTTTCATTTTTATAACATGAAAAATTAAATTAACTCCTCTTCCTTTTTTAGTAATGCTCAGACCCAAGTTATAACCGCATTACTCCAAACTTGAAGATTCTGATATTTCAATCTATTTTACGACAAGATTATTTCTGATGTTTTTTTCTCTACTTTCAATAGAATGCATTGAAAGAACATAGTTTGTTTTGATAAGAAAGCAGATTAACACAGAATTTGAAGACCCCCGAAAAATTTTAAAGAATAAGTCTTAAACTGTGTAGAAACAAACAGATTATGACATTTTAAATTTGAACTTAGTAGAATAATGTTCTATTCTGTCAGCCAATCATATATGCTATGAAACGATGAACATTGTTATTCTTTTATATCCATCTACATGCAGTGTTTGGGAATTTGGCTAATTTTTTTTATAGCTTTTACAATCTAAAGGTAATAAAATCTTCATCAGTTGTCAGTTACTTTTTTTGACAATGTCAATGTATATATATATATTATAGGAAAATGCTTTTTTTTAACTGAACAGTAATTTAGGTAGATCATACTGATGTTTGAAATCATAATTAAGCAAATATTCTTACTAAAATTACCTCTTTATCAAAAGCAGTATTTTTTTAAAGAGTTCAATCTTTTTTAGCATATTTTAAGTGCATAGTTCAAGTTCTCTACAACTTCATGTTCATACAAGCACTGGTTAGAATCAGCTGTAAATTAAATAGTACTCAACGATATGAAATGAAGTCCATAGCATTAAAGAAATTAAAGGAGTCTGAAGGTCAACTTCTAAGTCCTACAGAACCTGAGTCATCTATATCTACTGAAGTTAGTACATTTGATTCAATTTTTTTTTTCTTCAAAGTTTGTCTATTTTATCTTATTGCTTTATATTTTATTGTAAACATTATGAGTTAATATGTACAATTATATACAATCAGTAGTAAACCACTCATTAGCTGGAACTCTCAATGTTATTTTCTATTTTTGACTATGTCATCTTTCTAGAGCTAAATGAGTTTTTTAAATTAGTGCAAAAAATATTTTGCATAAATTTATGAAGCTTATTTACAAAAAAAAAAAGAAGAAGAAAAAATTATACACAAAAATTTTTTTTGAAAAGTGTATGCAATATAAAACAGCAAAATCCAAAATTTTGGTGAAATTAATTGACTAAATTCTAAGAAATGAAACTAAAAAAAAACTAAACTTTTTAGATGCTTTTTTTCATGAAGAAATTTTTTATGGCAAAACTTGATAATCCTTTTATTAACTATATTTACATGTACTAATGGGTTGGGATAGCCTGGTTGGTAGGGCAATGACACCATGCCCAAGAGGTTGTGATTTTGATCTCCGCCGGCCAAAGACTCCCTGTGTACGAAATGGTAACTGGTGCACACTAAATCTGTCGGGATCACAAAGTCTTCCAAGTTCCCATAACAAATCAATTCCTCCGGGGGTACTAGATCAAAGATTGACCTGTTCAGGGCAAAATTAAAATTATGATCAGCGGATAGATGGATGATGTGTGAACTAGTCTTCCCCGTAAAAACGTGCTGTGGTGTATGCATGTGGCAGAAGTCGAATTCTTAGCCATAGATGGCATCACTGGAAAACAAGAAGGAGCTCACTCTCATGCCTTAATGGCATACGACAACAACAGGTGCTAATTTTGATATTGAAGCGAAAATAAGTTGTATACAACTTCAAATCCCATAGAGTTGGCACCTATAAATGCAATGTAAAATTAAATATTGTTTGAATCACAAAAAGTAAATTTTATAATTTTTTTAAAGTTGTTTTTTTAATTCCACTTAATGTTACTGGAAAACAGGAAGGAGCACACCTTCATTCCTTAATGGCATACGACAACTACAGGTGCTAATTTTGATGTTGAAGCAAAAATAAGTTGTTTACAACTTCAAATCCCATAGAGTTGGCACCTATAAATGTAATGTAAAATTAAATATTGCTTGAATCACAAAAAGTAAATTTTATAATTATAAGCTGTTTTTTTAATTCTACTTAATGTTAAACTAAAATGTTTTTTTTTTTTTTAATATATGTTTCCAACATTATTATCTCCTTTGAGTAGGAATAAGTTTTTTTTGATTATATCTCAACTGTTTTTATTATTATTAATATTTGAAACATAATTTTTAAGAAGCTTCTGTGCTTTTTTTTTTTATCAATTTTATTTGATAAAAAAATACTGATTTATAAAAATTTTATTTGATTTTTTGACAAAATATAATTTTGTTAAAAAGAAAATGAGACATTAAACAGTAAAATCCAAAATTTTGGTTAAATTGAATGACTAGCTTTCAAGAAATGAAACTTTAAAAAAGCTAAACTTTTTAAATGCTTTTTTTTATGAAATTTTTTTTATGCAACTTGCTTTACTTTTATTTTTTATGAAAAACTTGTCTATCTTTTCATGAATTATATTTACATTTTTTAATTTTAATATTGAAGCAAAACTAAGTTGTTGCATGCAACCCCAAATCCCACAGAGCACCTATAAATCTATTGACACCTATAACTGTAACTTGAAATTAAATACTATTTGAATCGCAAAATTCATGTTACAAGTAAAGAGTTTTTTTCTTATTTGCAACATTATTCATTATTAACATTATATTGTTTGCAGCATTATTATCTCCTTTGATTGGGAATCAGTTTTTTTGATTATATCTCAACTGTTCTTATTATTGAAAATATTTGAAACATAATTTTTTAGAAAGCTTAGGAGTAATTTTTGTAAAATGGGTTATTTTTTTACCAGGAAATATCAACCCAAATGGATTTACAAGTTCTCTTGGGCAACATCATAACACATTTAGAGTCCAGCTGTCTATATTTAGATGATGATGAGTTGAAAGCTATGGAAGTTAGTGTTATCTTATTACTGTTTTTATAGTGTTTCTATCTTATTTGTGTTGCAATCTATGTTTTATTTTTCAATTAATATAATGTTTCATCGCCAAAATCTGAAATATTTTTTATTTAGCACCTCAATGAGAATAACTTTTAGAAGCATTTTGATCTTTCTAAACTTCTAATTTTGATAATTTTTCAGTGTGAGTACTTAATTTATTTGGACAAACTTTCAAAGTCATCAACAATTAGTGTCATGAGTACCAACAAATTTTTAGCTAATGCTTATGCTTATTTCTAGCTTTCATTTCCAGAAATTGTTCACAAATATGCATCTAAAACATTTTTCTTCATTACTCATCCACATACAATTTCTGAACTAAAGGGTTTTTTTTTTAAATGAATAAAATTTCTAAAAACTGTCAGATACTTTTTTTTTCTGACAGCTTCAATAAACTAATTTTCTATAAATTCATGAGAAATTCCTCTTTAAATTAGAGCTTACCCTAAATGAGCACACTTGTAATTAAAAAGGTTTATTTTCTGTTTAAAAGTTGTACCTATAAAGCTTAAAATACAAATGATTTTGCAGACATAAAATAGTGTAGTAAATTTACTAACATTATTTTTATAGTTTTAGTGTAGCATTTAAATTTTTCTAACATTTATTCCACAGTTTGTTTAATGAAGTTTTATTATTTTTAGAGTCCTTTAGAGACTTCCATTGATTGCTTAGAGAACTACATTCAAGAATTTTCTCTGCATTTTCTGAAAGTTGCCTCTCTGTTGCAATGCCATCTGTTTGATGATGAAATCAAACTGAAAGTATGTTTGCATTTTAGTTTCTTCACTTTACTTTATAGTGTTAAATAACATTTTATAGTCATAGTTGCTCAGCCGAATTTTCAGAAATACCTCACTGTATGGTGACTGATGCACGTTAAATCTGTCAAGTCACAAAGTCCTCCATGTTCCCATAACAAATCATACCTTTAGGGGTACTGATCCAGGAGTTTCTTTGTCTTCTTAACTGGTTTAAAATTACAAGACTACGGAGTTGAACACAGTAGTTGTAATCCCAAAAACTGGGTTTGCTGTTCAACGACAGATATAAAATTTTAAAAAAAAGCACACTGACTGCAAAATATAACTTTCCACAAGAATAGCCTGCATTATTTTATTAGTCTATTTTTACAATAATCACTAAATAAATACACCACTAACATTTTTTTGAAGTCATTCATATCCCTACTTATTTTTCACTTCATCATTATTAATTTTTTTCCTTAGCTCTAAAAATTTAATTAAAAAAACAATTTAATTTAACTTTCATTAGGAGGGGGATATAGCAATAATTATGAAAAAGTAGTAATTTTTTCATTTACTTTTAATAAAAAAACTTTGTTGCATTTTTTTTAAAAAAAGGAAAATATTTTTTTTGAAAATTTTTTAAAATAAATTGGAAATAAATATTAACTGTAGGTCTAAATTTAGACCAGACTTTTTCTTGAGATTTATTTCAGTCCTGGACTGAAGAGTGGACATTGATTCACTTCTTTAAAATGTTTAATTTTAGTTTATTTTCAAATTATTCTACTAGAAATGACTTCAAGAAAACTTTGCTATATAAATGGTTAGTGCCAAGTATAAATTTAAAATTATACGATTACATAACACAAATTTTAATAAAAGGTACGTTGAATGTGAGATATAGGTTTAATAAAAAAGAAATTAAATACCTTTCCGAAACTTCATTGGATAAGAATACCTCATTAAAATTCATCCAATTCTTTGTTAATTTCAGCTCTAAGTCAATAACAGATTGTTGCCCATATCTCACAATTTTCTAAATTTGTTTATAGATTGGGAAAGCCAAGTCCATGTTAAGAAGTTTGATTTTCATTTTTTTAAATATTTTATTTCTTTCTTATTAGTTATGTTTCTAATTGTGTTTTATTATAGAGCAACTCTATTTTCTAATTTTATTTCTTATTACATATTTCTTCATCATATTTATTCTATCATATGCTTGCATTTCTGTTTCTCTTTCTTTTATTTTAAAAAAAAATTGTTTTTTAAACATTTAGATTGGAAGTGCTCAACTACTTTGCCAAATGGAGGTAAATACTTTTTCTCACTCTTTTTTTTTTCTTAGATAGGGTCAAATATAAATTTCACAAGTTGTTGTAACTCTTATTAATGATTTGTGTCAGCATATTTACATTTTATTAAAGTGAAAAACAACATAAATAAAGCACAAATTAAGTTGACTTTTACTTTATTCACCTTGTTTTTCAATTTAGTCTACTCACTTTAAGATGATTGAAATTATAATTATTAATGTACGAGGCATAATTTCATTACCTTGAATATGTATTAATGTGATTTTTTCATCGCAATAACTATTGGTTTTTATCCTTGACTGGTTTTTCACTTTAGTCTCCTCATCAAAAAGATGAGGTATACTTAGTAAAAAGTATACCTCATCTTTTTGGATTTTTACATTTTATTTCAATTTATCTAAAGCTTTGATTTAATACTAATGTAACCTACACGGTGCGTAGCGTTTTTAAAAAGTGCTTTAAGGTGCTTATTTTTTATTTACGTTTTTTAAAAGCCCTTAAAGGTACTTTTTTTTATTTGGGGTTTGTAAAAAGTGTTTAATTTTCTATCTTCTAAAAAGAGATTTTTATTCTTTGTTGTATCGATTGTTGTTCTAAATTACAAAAAAAGCATGACTTTCACAGTTTTCTCTACAATATTTATTTATCAGAAACTGGTTATATTATCATGATTATGTCAGGCTTTTGAAAATCTTTTTGAATTTTACTGATTTTATGTTTATAAATTAAGTACTTTAAACGATAGAAAAAATAATTTTTATTACTGCACAAATCCTAATTATGATTTTTTTTTGGAAGTTGATTAAAAATATTCTTGAGTGCTTAATAAGTACTTTAAAGGTGCTTATTTTTTGATTGAAAAACTGGCTAAGCATAATGAACCTAGTTTCATGTATCAAGCATTATTTCATGTCCAAATTAAAGTTAAAGTTATAAAATTAATGACAATTTTAAAAAAAAATCTTTTTCTTCCTTCTAAAATAAAATGTTATCCTGATACTACACTATAAATACAATTTCAATACAATGTTATTAGCTCATCCTTATTTCTTTTTGGTTAATACAGATTCCACAGCCCCAAATACTTCTAGTAATTTCCTTATTTTTGTTTCAGATTTTTAAAGATACAGTTTCGGCACCTAGTGATCTAATTTTTTTAAATACATAATTATTAGACAAAGTAAAATTCTTAATATCCTGATGCTGCACTATAATTATAATTTCAACTTTTCTTAGAAGATTTTATTTTTCTTAGATAAATACGGGTTCTTCAACCCTGAGATTCTTCTAGTAATTTCCTCCTTATTTTTGTTAGTTTCATTTTTACTCTCCCACCATTTCTTTTTGTACGAGGCATGATTTCATTACCTTGAATATGTATTAATGTGATTTTTTTCACCGTGACAGCTACTGGCTTTTGTCCTTAAATGAATTAGTGTCTCAGAGTAAAAAAAAAAAAAAATTGAATTATTTTTTTTAAAATTGTAGGTATAGGTTTAAAATAAAAAGCATGATAAAAAGTACTATTTTAATGTTATTTCAATCTGTTATATAATCTGATCCTAATTCTATTTTAAAAAAATTATATATATATATATATACTCATAAAATGAACTAGATACTACAGAGTTTTATAACTTTCAAATTTTTGTGATAGATTTTTTTTTTTTATGTGTGCTGTTTTTTCTTATATGAATTATCAATGTTGAATGAGTATGAATAACTTAATGCTGTTGGTTAAACTTTATAGAAAATACTTGTTTGTCATTTATAGGAAAAAGAATCAGAATTCCAGTTATACAGCAAGTTCCTTTGCCTGAATGCTGCATCAAGTGAAATAAACACTGCTTGTTCCTGCATTCAATGGACTCTAAAAGACCATGAATCATTAGTAAAAACCTGGTGTGAAGATTATATGAATTTCATAAACAAATCTGTGATTGCTGCTAGAGTAAGTTTGTTTGAGGCTAAAAAAAATTTTTAAACTAAACTAAAATAAATTTTTATGTTTTAATTTTTTGTTTCCTCTTAGGTTTTCAGATTAAATGTTATAATTTACTCATTATTTTAGATTTCACAATAACATAAATGATGAATATTCATTTTTCTATAAAAATTATAATAAATTTAGTATTTGTCACGATATTTGATGTAAAGGTCCACTTTAATGGGATTCTACTTCCTTATGGTGACCTATAGATAGTCATGTGAAAATGATTTTCTTATTTTTTTGTGTATCTAATTCATAATTTTGAGTATTTTTGTTTAATTTTGAAATTGTTTTATTGCATCTAGTTATCAAATTAAAAATTCTAAGGCTGCAAGTACTTTAACACTTGTTCTTAGTGGAAATTTTAAAAATGCTTACAGCTAGTAACTAGGTTTAATGAATAAAATGAAACCAAAAAAAAATCCTAATTATAAGTTATTTAAATAGGGAAAATGTATCCTAATTCTCCATAGGTTTACATGGAGAAAATAGAACTCTTTTCTTGTCTAAAGAAGACCTTGAAGAGGGTTTTCAATGTGCCTCTTTTATTTATTTTGTCTGTACATAACTCTCCATTTTCAATCTCCATTGCAATCCCTAACTAAATATTGTCTTGGTCTCATAGTATCTGTAGAATTTTCCTACCTTTAATCTTAGTGAGCATTTAGAAAATACTAAGCGTCATATTTTTTTCCCCAGGGAGTTCTGACAAATATGAAATTTTGCCATTTGTGTGTTATTTAGAGAAACTTTAAAAAAATTATACATGAAGACACCATATAATGAGAAGCTCTAATAACTATATATATATAACATAATAAAAAGGAAAAGGGGGAATAACAAAGAAAATTAAGAAAAATAATAAGCTCTATTTACTGCAAGTATATAGAACTCATAAAATATGTTAAACATATAGAGGAAACATGGAAAAAATATAATAAAAGATTTATGAAAAGAGAAGAAGAAACATTATAGAATAAAATATTCATTTAAGAATTTTATTAAAAACAAAAATTAAAAAGTTGAAAAGCAAAATAATGAAAAGATATAATCTCGCCATCAGTGCACACGATTATAATCACACAAAAGAGTGCTTTCTAACATTGTATTAATATAGATAAAGCAAAATATATCAATACAATAGTGTGAGGAGCACTGAAAAAAATTTATATACGTATATAAACTCTAATTATTGAAGCATATTTCAAATGGTATGCAGATTATTATGTTATTTCTTTTTATTTAGTTAATCAAATGCAGGGGCTTACAAAATTTCAGAAGTCAGAATATTATGAAAAGAAATATAACATAACAGCTTTTTGCTTTAGGAAAGTGCATAAAGATAATTATATTTTTAACTTTTTATTGTCTAAAAGTAAATAAATAAAGTGGTTAGAAATATAGTATTTTGCTAAGAGTTTAACATGCCTTTAAAGCCTGTTATTGGTTTATTTTCAATTATACAATATGATGTGTTAAATTATATCTTCTTATACTAGAATACTGAATAATTTTTTTCAACATACATTTTATAAATAAAGTTACATTTGGCCCTTTGTTTATGCAATATCTCTCTTTTAATGAACTTTTTTTTTCTTTACAAAAATATTCAGATTTTTAGATCTAAGATAATAGGTTAAAATATACTCAAATATTGGGTGCCAACAATTATTTTTGAAGCATCTGATTGACAAGGATTTTGTGACCTCTATTTCAAGGTAGCCACACAGGACATCAATCTGGAAAAATCAGGGAAATTCAAGAAAATACCTAAAATGTCATGGGAATTGAATTAATTTGAGTTAGAGATAACTAAAAGTTTGATATTTGTTTCAAAAAATTGGACATAATTTTCGTTAAAAAAAAAGTATTTTAACTCTAATGGCAAGCATATTTTGTAATATAAAACTTAATAATAAAATGTATGTCGCTGGTTACAAAAATCGGGGAAATTAAATAAATTCAGCCTGGAAAATGCTCATGATCACCTTATCACATGTATGTGTAAAGAAAGAAAAAAAAATTTCTTAATTTCTGCAACACTATTTTAAAATTTATTACCTTTAATCTCTTATATATTTTAATTCATTAAACTCCTTTTAGTAAAAGTTATATTTTTATTCTACTTAAGCAATTTTATTTCATAATTATTTTGTTTTTTTATACTATTAATCCTGTTTTAATTCTTCTTTTCAAAGTCATTGCAATTAAAGAAGATAACATGGCATCCACCATCTTTGCTAAAACTACCCCACAACTACGATGACATCTTCAAATTTTACTACAAGAGACCATGTTCTGCTTGTCGCAGTGATCCGAAAGATCCCTCTCTGTGTCTAGTGTGTGGCACAATGGTTTGCTTAAGAGAAAACTGTTGTCGTCAACAGTCTCAATATGAAGCAGTAACTGTAAGTCTACTTTTTTTATAGTTCAAACCAATTGCACTAAAGCAAAGTTGTTCATCGTTTCCAATGGTTTATGTGAAATGCTTAATTTGTCATGTTAAACATTAATTAAATTTCAAGGTTTAAATACTCCAAACTAAGAATCAAATTTAGAGGATCAAATATAATGTCGAAATTAGCATTAATTTTATAGTTATTTAGTGAGGAACTTTTTTCCAAGAGCTATTTATGGCTGCATCCCATCAACAGCTTAGTTTAAAAGATTATTCTATTATGATTCAAAAGTTAAATTATTAGATGCAATCTAATCTCTTTGAGGTATGAGTACAAATTATTGTGAGGTTTATTTCTAATTATTAAAAGCAGTGGTGGATTGAAGCTACCAAAATGACATAGCCCCTTAGTTTTAAGTTTATCACGCTCGGAAAAAAAATTTGTGATCTTTTTTTTAATGTCTGTTGCATAAAAAAGTATTAAATTAAATTTCGAGGTTTAAATACTCAAAACTAAGATCCAAGTATATTGGCAAAATTTGAAGAAATTTTATTATTTCAAAACATTAGGTTTACAAATAAATAAAATAATTTAGTTTTATGATTAGTGTAAAATTGGTTATTAAATATTTGTACTTAACTTTACTTAATTTAGGTAAAATAATTTATGAATCCTATTTAGGGAAAATTAAGCAAAATTAAAACTGATAACTGAACTTCTTTTAAAAGTATTTTTTTTTACTTCTAAAATTTTAAACTTGTATGTCTTTGAAATAACATAAGACGTAAAAATAATGCATAAAACAGCATATATTTAACTTTTATGACTGTTATATAAGTATAACTAGAATATCTAATTTGCATGCTTCCTATAATCAAAGTTTTTCGAGTACAAAAACTTAATACTGAGGCTATACATTCTGATTTTGAATGTGAAGGCCAGAAAATTATAGTAACTTTATTTCATTTCTTTTTTGTTTATAAAATATCTATGAATGTTAATCATTTATTTGTGGCTAAAAAATTTTTGTAATCTAATCTAAATAATTTTGAATGCAACATATCATTCTGTAATAATTTTTTTAATACTTTTTTGTTATATTATTCAATGTATATTTTCTTTTTAGCATTCTGTTGCATGTGGCGGAGGTACTGCAATTTATCTTGCCGTTAATTCATCTACTATAATTGTTATTAGAGGAAAGCGAGCTTGTCTTTGGGGTTCTGTGTATTTAGATAATTATGGCGAAGAAGACAGAGACCTCAAGTATGTAGTGAAAATATTACTACAGAAATTAGATTTTTCATGTATATTTTTAATTATTATAAATCATTTATAAAATGTTTGTATTTCTAGCTACAGTGGAAATAATTTTACACAATAGCATAGAGAAAATCACATTGAAATCAAGGTACTCATTAAATCTTGACGCCCGGTGGCTGAGCGGCAGCGCTTTGCGCTGTCGTGCCACAGGTCCCTGATTCGATCCTCGGGCCGGACAAGGTTGACTCAGCCTTTCGTCCCTTCAGTGGGTCAATAAATGAGTGCCAAGCATGCTTGGGAACTAAACACTGGGGGTTCCGCGTTCGGCTGACCACCTGACCGGGGATAGCCTGGTTTGTAGCATAGAGTTATAAATAAGAAGGAGTGGGCATTCCTCCCCTTCCCTATTGGAGCGAGTGAAGTAACTGTCAAGTAGCGGCGGCCATGTTGGTATAACCAGAAACTTCGCGGAGCCGCTCAGGTTTCAAGAGGAAGAGTTAGGTTGTTTTTGATCTTTTCTCTTATGATTGGAAAATTTCGAAAACGAGATTGAAATAGTTTTGTTGTTAATACATAACACCTTTTTTCATTCAATTTTTCAACATTAGTTTCTTTTCTTCTTCCCAAAAAATAACGTTTTAAGATAGCTCTATTTTACAACTGAATTAAAAAAAGAACTTTACAGCAGTTTTCGGGAACTTAGGTTCCTTTATATTTTATCTAGGCATTAAAAGTNTGGAAATAATCTTAAAAAGAAGAAAAAACGATGAAGTAATACACTAATGATTATTTCCAAAATGATGGTAAGGTAAACATCTTTCAAAAAAGAAAGAAAAATCCTAAAATCTTATGAGGAAAAAAAAATTTTTTTAAAAAAATGGCGGGAAAATTTATCGAATTTCGTTCCGGTTTTCTGATTTCCGGATAACGGGTTCTGTACTGTAATATAATATTGTACGCATATTCTTTTTTTAAATTGTAATATTATTTAGTATGTAATTTGATGATAGAAAACATGATGAAACAATTCAGTTTTAATATTCTTTATTTTTGTATTATTATGTATTGTAAAAAAATTGAAATATTTATTAAATATTAGAATTGAAATTTTCTTGGATTTTAGATATGCAAAAGTAAAACAAATCAATAACTAATTTTATTACTTTAAAACACTGATAAATTTAATGTAATATAAGCTGTATAACTGTTCTACGTAGCACAAAATATACCATACCCTTTTTTGGATATGCTGGTGTGTATAGTAATCAATATAGAGTTCTATAAAATTAAAACACTAAGAAATATTATCGATTTTCAAACAAATTTTTCAAAATTAGATGGCAACAAGGTTAAACTGGTTGGAAGACTCGATTAATTGCTTATAAAAAAGCTTTTTAATTAAGATTTTGTGTTAGCAAAAAATTTCTAAGTTTAGATATAACAATTTTAGTTTTTCTGTGATTAAATTTAACACCTTTTCTTGGAAGTTGTTTGGCATACATCACAGGTAGCATGAAATGCAATGCGTTTGCTATGAAAAGTTAGCACTTTCATAGCAAACTCCATATTTTCAGATGTAGATAGTTCCCATCATTGGTACAGTTTACCTTTTCTCCAAGGACATATAAATGCATTAAAAAAAGGAGCAGCAAGATTTATAGAATCTATTCAGTGGTTTGCATTGCAATATCTTTTGTTAGTTATTATAATTACCACTCAAAATTTCATCGGAATATTGTAAATTATGTCATTCTTTTTTAATTTATTGTCTAGAAATTTCATATAGTATTTACATAGCAGAATAGATATTTCTTTTTAACAATGTTTCAGAAATTTTTGAATTAATGAAACTAAATAGTAAAAAAAAAATTTTTTTTTCTCTTACTCTCAAACTTATGCACTTTTTTTTCAGTGGTAAGGAACTGAAGCAGAAAATTTTTAAGCAAATATAAATTTTATTAAACTATATCAGGGATCTGTCTAGGTTTTTCTGAAAGGTACCTATTTTGTGAAAAATTAAAAATTATATTAAAAAATCAATACAAAAACATGGTAAAAATATAGATTTATCGTTTCTTAAAGGATACAAAAATAAAATTTTAAGAAAAAATATTTTGTGAAACTACTGTTTTACCTAAAATTTGTACCTAATATTTTATTTTGAAGTGCTCCTGCTTATTGTAGGTAATCTCAATTAATTTCTTTCTCTAGGGCTACCTGAATTAAATTTTGTTTTTTAATGAACAATGCCATTAATTTTTTACTTTTCTTTTGTAGGCGGGGTAAGCCTTTGTACCTCAGTACTGAGCGTTATACCCTATTGCAACAGCAATGGATTAACCACAGCTTTGATCACACTAACAAAAGATGGGTTTGGCATAAAGACAATCTATAACAATAAATTTACTGTAAATTTGTAAATTTCTGTCCAAAAAAGAATTTTGCTTTTTAGGGAAGTAAACTCCTTTTCATTTTCAGTCGAAAATGTTTTTACATGAGCAAAACATGCCAACATGAGCTATACTGAAATTAACTTATTTAGTAAACATAAAACAAAAAATACAAACCCTTTCTACATTTGCTCAAAACAAAAGAGAACTAATAATTTAAATAGACTGAATGAAAGGGAAAGGTTTTTTGAAATAGATTGTACATAAATACATCATTTATGAATCTGTATTCTTTTGTTGAATTTGTTTAATAAATGTTTATTTATATTTTTCTGTTGGTTATTTTATGCTAGTGAATTTGTCTAAAAGTTTTTAAAAAAAAACATGCTTTTTTTATCTTGTTAAATTCTAGCCTATATATAAAAATATGTAGGAATATTATTTACTTAACTTTTGCTTACAATACTATAGGTTTTAGCCTTTGTTAGCATGTTAAGTGCTGTATCCAAAAGGTTAAAAACCTATATGTCTCATTGCATCTTATTGTTAAAGCTTCATTGTTGTAACTATTTTGATTTTTCAACCATGGCACCTTTGGGGTGACATTTAAAAAGAAAGCTATAACTCAAAACATTTATTTTCACCTCTTATATCCCGAAAGAAGTTATTAAATACAAGTCAATTTTATTTTTTGATTTTAATTATTTCACACTTTTATTGTGTTTTCATGTGTTGATTAAATTTATTTCTTTCTGCAGAAATAAAGTTATACAAAAGTTAATTTTTTTTTAAATGGTTGAATTTATTTCAAGGTTGAAAATATATTATAGGGTATTTTAAACTGTACCTAGAAACTATTAAAAAATTAATTTATTTAGCTTGAAAATTACAACGCTACTTTAAAGTGATATTGTTTTTTCTTTTTTTGTAGATGCTTACTTAACAAAAATAATTATGATTCTAAATGATTTTCATTATTTTTTAAAACTGCTAAATTTATTTTGATTAATGCTGAAAAATTAAAATGGGTAGGAATTGCTACTCTGTAGTTAACAGACATTATTAATTTTACTGTACAAAAAAATGTGCTGCATTAAATTTTTTTTTCTTATCTACAGATGTTGATATGATTATTACTATGTATAAGTTTTTAGGACATAAGTTTGGTTTGATTGTTTTTAGTTTACAAGGATAAAATGTGGCATAAAACATTTATATGTTAAATAATAAAGTTTAACCATTATTTGTTTTTAAAAAAAATCTTGGAAAAATCTTTAAAAAAAAGATTGGATATTTTTGTTTTGTTTTCTTCGTTGCTGTTAACTCCCAGTTATTTACTTTATTTATAAAATTGTTTTTTAGTTCACAAATATTAAATATTGTTATTCAATTTGAGGTAAAAATATTTATTTATATTAATTTTTATTTTTTTAAATAAATTGTTAATCATCATCATTTAAATATCTTGATTTTAATATGGGTCAAATATCAAAGGAAATCTCCTTTGATTTTTGAATATTTCAAAGAATGGCCAAAAATTAGAGCAGCTTGTTGAATGTTATATTACTAATTATTTTTACTAGGGGCGAAAATTTGTAGGCTATATTAAATAAAATTTTTAAACATTTTATAAGCGACTACAGGTATTCAAATTTAGTTAATGACTATAATATGCTTCTTATAAATGGCTATGATGTGTAACAGAGGAATTGCGAAACTCATTGAAATACTGAGTCATTGATGCGTTGAGTTCAGCGATAGCTAAGAGTTTATTTGTGTAAACTTTTATCTTAACTAAAGTCCCACAAAACTGAGTCACAAATGTTGAGATCTGGACAATAAGGTGGCCAAGGAATCGTGTGGCTTTTAGCATACCATAGCTACAAAATGCTCAGAAACGTTGTATAAAAGGGGGAAAAAAAGGGGGAAAATATAAAAACAAATTGGCTTGTTAAAAAATATGTCCCAACATACCTTGCAATTTAATCTTTAATCTAATAACGCTAATGGTTCAAAATTTATCACTTTTCAGACGGTTTAATTATTATATCTTACATCAGTGATTCGTTGAATAAGTTTTCCCTGTGACTATTAGCTTTACTAGAATTATCTCTAATAAAGCTCAGAGCTTATCACATTTTATTTGTTTAACCTTGTGAAATTGTATCTTATTCAATATTACCTTATAAAAAATATAAATACTTTTATTTTCTTGTATTTACATTAAATTATTTAGGGTAACCCCATAAATTTTAGATTTTTTATAATCGTGAGGAAGCTCTATAGATTTTCTTGAAGAATCTTAAACCTTTGAGTGCATGGCCAGGTTGTTTTTCTGCCTAGTAAACTGGTTTCTCCCCATTTTATTCAATGGAAAAGTAATGCATAGTAGAATTTTTTTTTAATACAAATTTGTCCATATGCTTAATGTTAAATTTTATCCAATGGAAGTTAACCTTTATCTGATACTCTTTTTATTAAATCTATGCAAAATATTTTTTGCTAAATTAAAGTGGACTATAATAAAAATGAAAATGCAAAAACTGTATATTGATATTTCACCATTCAAAAACAGATTCTTCTTATTTCCATTTCCTCTTGTTTTGTTTTTATTTAAGCACTATTTTTTATTTATGTTATGCATTTTATTCAACCTCTCAAAAAGAAAAGAATAATGCACATTAATTATTAAATAGATAATCAAGAGTTAATTCATTTAAATTTGTATTTAATATCTTAGAATTCACCCAACCATTTTGTGTGATATTCATTTAAATGACAGCACAATCTAAAATCAGTGACTGTGATAGCCGTCCGATAGTTATTCCTGCTACTTTTTAAATATTATTTAAACATAGTTTAAGTTAATTTAAGTAAATTTTGCAGAAATTTTAAAGAAATTTTCAAACGTTATTTCATTTTTTTTTTAAGACAATTCTATCCTTTAGGGTGGCCACTCTCTGCAATAAACAGAAAAAACATTCAAGTCTTGATAAGTTCGAAAACCACTGGAGTATAGTGATTAATGATTATCACGCACTATTTCCTGCTGAGTGTAACATTTTTAAATAATAAGATAATAAATTTATTAAGCAGAAATAATTTTTAAATATTTATTTCTTTGTTTAATGTCATGAAACAGTAATATGCCTAATAATGAAAAAATTTAGATAAAGGAAATAAATATATTATATTAAGAAACATTTTCTGTATTTACCCTTAGTTCTAAATGAATATGTTAATTTTATTTACAAATATGTGTGTACATATATGTGTAATTTTAAAATTACAATTTACACCTCTCCAAGTTAAATTGCAAAAATTTGTAAAAATTCTTAGAATTTTTATCAGGAAATTTTTAGAAGATTTGGTTTTGTCTGAAGAGTGGCCACATTGTGTAATTATACAAAACAAGTAATATTTTCTTCTGGGTTTGCTGATGAAAGATGTCATAAGCGATTTGCCTTTTTTTAATTAATTACTTTGAACATTTTATTTGTGCAAAAATATTTTTTCTTGAAAATTTATTTACGTAATGGTGATTTTTCAGTAACCATAAATATATATTGTAAAATATTTTATCATAATTTGTGAAATAAAAGGGATGTTTTTGTAGTGGTATGTAAAAATGCATGTTATGCATTTTTAAGATAAATGTAGATTTTAATTTGTTATTAACTGTGCTTCTATTAAAAAAAGATTTTATTTTTAATGTAAATAATGTTTAAGTGTTCATTCTACATTGGAATTACATTTCATCTTTTAATATGTAAATCCTTTTGAACTACACCAATCAAAATGCTTTACAAATGTTTTATTGATATTTTTTTCTTCTTTATAGATTTTTTTTAGTCCAAAATTTAGTTATTGTATTTATAAAAACAACAAGCTTGTGAATTCAGATGTAACATAAAATAAAGTCAATTATATCTATTTGATACTTTCATTATTCTATACAATTTACTGATCATTTTAATTTCTAGTTTGTATATTAACCCACTGGCAGTTTTGACATTTTCATTTTTATTGCTAAAATGTGTACTTTTTTTTATACTAGAACTGTGGTATGAAGGGTCATTTTTCTCCTCTTAACTTTAGATAAATGGGTGTTTCAACTCAAAAAATCAGCTTTTTCTAAGAGCAAGGTGTAGGAAGTGAAGTGAGGACTTCTACATGCAGAACTACCGTTGCGTTAAGTACTGTTTATCTAACAAAAGAACTTATCTGTCTTAAAACTTAGGACTATCTAGTGCAATAAAAAGCACACATCAAGAAAAGAAGATCTTGTTACTTTTCTCGCCGACCGAAGTCAAAATAGTAGCCATAGCCACTTACTAAACAACTGGCATGAAGAATTCTTTTATTAGACACACATTAAAAAACACGACTAAAATCAATATAAGGGAACAGAGGCTATTTTGACGTGTGGGAAAATAGGACCCGGGTCCTTTTGGTAAATACAAATTGCACAGATTTAAAACCTTTCAGGAAGAAACGTTCCAATCTATCTGGGATAAATGGAGGAAAAAAATTTTTTTTTCTTCCTAACTCTCAAAATTTGATGCAGAAAAAATAAATCCAGATAAATAAATTGTTTGGGGGGAAAAGATTATATATATATATATATATTAAATCATTGTAGATTTGTGTAGTTTCTAATCATGCAGGATTGCACTGATGTTACATTTATGATTCGTTTTCACACTAATCAAAAGACTAGAAATCGTTCGATTAGTGATAAAAATGAGAGGAAAAAAACTGGACTTGCCTTGTTCTAGCCCCAAGTCGTTTAATTGCTTATTTCAAATATTTCTTTAATGGTTCTAAATAAAGATTAATATTTTAATTATTAGTTTAAAACATCTTTATGATAATTCATTTAGTAAAAAAAATTAAAATTTTCCGGTTCTAGACCTGAAAATTTAAATTTTCAATTAGTGGCCGATAGACTCCAGGGGTCTGTCCAGACATTTTGTGAAAGGTCTGTTTTTGTAAATTTGTGAAAAAATTACTCGTAATTTGTGAATTCAACCAGGGTCCTTTTGTGAATTTGTGCAAATAGGGTCCTGCTATTGCAAAAAACTTTTTCAAGGAGTTTTTAAATTGTTAAGACATACCAAATTATGCTCAACACTGTAAAATTATAATTAAATTTTAAAAAATAATCAGCAATTGCTGCTACTATATTCAAGATGCAACATACAAATATTTGGTATTTAGCCTATACTGCTGAACGCAGAATATTAGTTTCGGACGAATAAAGGAAGAAGCTTCTACTGAAGACAAAACTTAGTTCCTTTACATCTGTCTTTCTTCCCCCCCCCCCCTGGGAAGGGTTTATTTGATTAACAAAACAATAATGAAGATAAACGAATTTGTGAAAGGTCCGATTAAAAGATAAATTATTTTGTGAAGGGTCCGTTTTCAAGTTAAAATATTTTGTGAAGGGTCCGTTAATGGACCCAAATTTCATCTAAACAGACCCCTGGACTCTAATAACTTAGAAGCCACTTTTTTACTCTTCACACCTAATGAGATAATGACCATTCTTAGCAAACTTTTTTTTTGTTGCTTGCATTATATTTTTAAAAAACAATTTATATTAGAAATAATCTATAGTTTTAAAAAGTTAATTTAACAATATAAATATATGAGAAATTTATTTAAACATACTACCTTTAACGTGAATTGTTAAAAAAAACTCTTCTTCAACATGAATCTTTGCATCACAACGTGATGAATTCTGAAGGATCAAAATTTTGAACAGAGATATTGAACATTTCAATGAAAATTTTGTTTTTCAGAGTCTTTCTACATTAATTGCCTTTATCATTAAAAAAAAACTGGAAAAAATTACTCATTGTTTATATAATTTAAGTTGCCTCTATTTTTTGTTGACTCACCACTTGGTAAGTGGTTATTTTCAAGTTAAATTAGTTCTTACTTCAAGAATCGATAGAAACTTGTTTGCAAATTACAAGCGGGATCCATCATTTTTGTGATATTGCTCATCAACCCCTGAAACTGCTCATGCAGTTTGTTTCTGAATACTCCTTCAACATGAATCTTTGCATCACAACTTGATGAATTCTGAAGGATCAAAATTTTGAACATTTCAATGAAAATTTTGTTTTCCAGTGTCTGTCTACATTAATTGCCTTTATCATTAAAAAAAAACTGGAAAAAATTACTCATTGTTTATTTAATTTAAGTTTTTTCACCTGTCATGCTCAGATATAGGATGGATTACAATTGAAAGAATCAAGAAATGAGAATAATTTGATATTTATTTGCAAGATATAAGACCACACAACTTTACAAAACAAATTTTAAAAAAACAGGGATGAGATTCTTCCGCGGATTTCCGCTTTTATTCAGATTTTTCCCGCTAATTTCCGCTGAAATTTTTTTTTGCTCAAGTTAAAATATTTTATGAGGAATTTAATTTTCCGCGGAGGGAAATTATTGAAGTCCCTTTTCCTGCCTCTAAAGTTTCTCTAAAAATCATTTCCTTGGGATAAAACTGGTTGACCTTTATACAGGGATGAGATTTTTTTTGTCTCTCGAATTTCAGCCTTTTTATCAAAACTCCGATTCTCTAAAAGTTTCGTTTTTTTTTAAATAAATATCCCGTTTTTTTATTTTTTAAATTCAGTCATTGAAGTAAAATAATTATATTTATTTCCGATTTTCAAAGATAAACAGAAAATTCAATCTACGCCCTAGCTGCTGACCCTTCCCAGGGTGCGTAGCGTTTGTAAAAAGTACTTAAAGGTGCTTTTTTGGGGATTTCGTTTTTATAAGCTTTTAAAGGTGCTTTTTTCAGCTGGCGTTTTTAAAAAGTGCTTTTTTTCCGAATAATTTTTTTTCTTTCCTTCAGTGATATCTGGTGGATCCCATGCATTTCACGAAAAATGGGGAGTTTGCTACGTAATCATTGACGCGGACTTCATGTCGTACCCATGTTATGACTTGCGCATGCGCACACTTGAAACCGAAACCAGAGTGCTCCAATTCGGATAGAGAATATCAGATCCTTATGAAATGTTTTTCTTTTTAATTTAATTTATTTTTGTTCTTGTTTATTTTATTTTACTTCTAACACTTTTTTTGACGTAGGGGGTAAGGGTACTTTT